GAATCAACAGATTTATCATCCCATTACTCGTCATTACCTCAACTGAAATTATCTCAATTCTTATCTCCTGTATATATTCAAAACCTTTGCAAGCCGTTTCCCATAAAAGAACTAAAACCATTAAGTAACACAGCAACTATTTCAATGCTTGTTTTCAAAACTCACAATATCAAAGTGCCCTCCCCTCATCCTCACCAGATCTACCCAAGGCTTCAAGACTTAGCCGAGTCACAACATATCAGCCGAGTCGTAACAGAAAAAATTATAATAAGTAATACCCATATATCGGTGCGACTCTATTCCACCTAAGACACAATTGATATGGCGTATCAACAAATAGTAGTAGTATTTCATAATGGTTGATACAACACTGTATGACCCTTCAGCACTAAAGGGATCACAAAATTCACAATTGTTAGATCTTGCCTTAAAACTCAAGATTCACAAAATGTGAGAGCCTAAATCAAATCAAAATCTTCCAATACTTAAAAATACAGGTATTTTTTTCATTTTTTGGAAATATTTCTTAGATCTAACACAAAAACAGTATTCTGTATGAGAAACTTTAGATCGATCAAATATGTGTGTGTTTTGTTTTGGGTGGTGAGGGGATTTTGTTTCTATTGATATGCTTGAATGTTGTTTTAATGTGTTTTATTTGGTAACTATTTATGTATTTCATATTTAAGTGCATTTATGGGCATCAATTATATAAAAAGTATAAATGAGTAAGTTTAATTGCAGAGAGTCGTGTATTTATTAAAAAGGCCGTATTTATCAGATTATGAAATTTAAGGTTGTCTATCATTGCTTTCTAGGTCAAGATGTGTGAGGTAAAAAAATATTCACAATACTTCAAAATGTATAGACCGTCACTCATTTATTAAGAAAAAACCATATTTATCGGATTATGGAATTTAAGGCTGCATATCATTGTGGTCTAGATCAAGATGTATGAGGTCAAAAATATTCACTATTGTCGAGACTCTCTGTTACGTAACCCACATTACACTATGATTGAGTCCGTGTCCGCGACTTACAACCTTGGCTCTACCACCACATGAGCTGTGCATACAATCAGGGGTCGAAAATGTTCCATTGAACTAAATTGAATAAAGTACTCCATGTAGGTAAATTGAACTTTGTTCTAATTAAAGGAGTTCAGTTTAATGCTAAAACTGGAAGGTTGACTTACAACCTTGGCTCTACCACCACATGAGCTGTGCATACAATCAGGGGTTGAAAATGTTCCATTGAACTAAATTGAATAAAGTTTTTCATGTAGGTAAATTGCACTTTGTACTAATTAATGGAGTTCAGTTTAATGCTAAAACTGGAAGCTTGACTTACCCCTCTAATCAACAAAGTGGAGCTAGAGGGGGCTAGGGCAATGGACCCCCCATAAATCTTCAAATTTCTTATTTATCCAAAAAATCGTTATTTTGTAAACAAACTTAACTTGTGATCCCCAAAGCAATAGAAATTATCTTACAATTGTCTTTCAAATTTTAATCACATGTTACTAGTTCAGCTAGGGGTAGCAATTTGCCCCGCCCCGTCCTGCCCCAAACAAGATGGGGATGGTTTGCCCCTAAATGGGGTACGGGCAGATATGGTATTAGATATTGAAACCCGACTCGGGTTTGGGGCAGGGATGGTTTTCTAGTTAAACACTCCCCGCCCCGCCAGCCCCGATTATATAATAAATGACACATATATCCTTAATTTTAATTTATGATTCCTTTACTGCCATATATCTATATTAAAACTAAAGGTACATGAGTAATATATTATATAATTGGGACGACTTGGGCAGGGATGGTTTTGTAGTTAAACCCTCCCCACCCCAATTATATAATAAAGGATCAATACATTAAAACTACGGCAAGGATGTATTGTTCCTTTATTATATAATCGGATTTAGGCAAGGATGATGATATATATGGTAGTATACTCTAGGGTTTTTGTATTCAGTCCTCATTTTCCTTCTAGAGTATACCACCAAGCGATTGTGCTGCCCCCTCTCAATGCCTCTCCCCCTCTCAACTTGCCGTGATGCCGATCAACCTTTCAATGGCAATTAAGGCTACATTCCGACAACATTCGTTGCTTAGGGTTCCCGTGAAGGTACTCTCTCTCTCTCTCTCTCTCTCTCTCTCTCTCTCTCTCTCCATTTGTGGGTTGTGGCTTAGATTTGCGATGAGAACTCTTGATCTCTGTCTCTGTGGCAACCTCCAACGACCAAGAGACAGTTCTCTCTCTTCGGTAAATACTCTCTCTCTCTTCGCGACCTCCGACAACCAGGAGACCGCTGTTCAACCAGTTGAATTGTGGGTTTTAAGCTCCCAGAGGTTTCGACCTTCAGTAAATACAAGTTGATACACAGCTCAGTTTCTATATTGGAGAATTTTGTTTCCTTTTTACCTGCCATTTAACCTGATTAATGGGCCTGCAACTAGTTAGATGATTTGAATCATTTGATAACTTGTTAGCTAGTCAGATGTAGGAAGCTGAGTTAATATTATTTGATTAAAATTTATTAATAGCTAGATTATAAATTCGGGGCATACTCCGCCCTGGTATTACCTGTCCCCCCATAAATTTGCCTCTGTTTTTCCTAAACATCCCATAAATTTTCAATTTTCTTATTTATGCCCCCCAAAAATAGTTATTTGTAAATAAGCATAACTTGTAATCCCCAAAACACAGAAAATTTTAATGCCCCCTCACCCTCCCCCCAAAACCCACCCACTCAACCAAAATTTCCAAAATCTTACTTGTTGGCCCAAAAATTAGTGAGTTTAGAAATAAAAATAACTTGTGTCCCCACACAGCTAATAGGAAAATTCAAACCTTTTAACTTACTTTTGAAATCTTAAATCTTGTGAAACAAAAATATAAGTTCATATATGCTAATTATTTTGGTTGTCACTTATCAATAATATTTCATAATTTTCTTCTCGGCAGTCGTGTTTTGTTAAAGCTTACGGAATTTTGTTTAGTTAAAATGTTACATTTTTTCTCTTATTCTTTCATCAAGTTATTACTGATATATCTTTCTCAAAGTGGAATCGAAGTACTCAATTTGTCTTTTCAAAAATTGAGTTTTTGAAAAATGTAAAGAATTTTTGAAGAAATTTAATCTTTAATAATGTTATTTCTTCACAACTTCTTCTTTTACTAGCAACTTATCATTTCCTCTTCTTTATGTTCTTTTCCATATAATTTTTCATGTCTACTTATTTTGGTTGCACTTATTCTCATTTTTGGATTGTATTTTCCTCAATATATATACTACTACGAATAGAATAATATTATAAAGAAAAATATATTACAATTGTCTTACAATTTTTTCAAAATTTAATCACATGTTACTAGTTCAGCTAGGGTTGGCAATTTGGCCCACCCGCCCTGCCCCTAATGGGACAGGGATGGTATGCCCCTAAACAGGGTAAGGGCAGGTATGATATTCGATTTTGAAACCCGACTTAAGTTCAGGGCGGGGAGGGTTTAATTACACATATACCCTAAGTTTTAGTGTATTATTCCTTAATTACGCATATACCCTAAGTTTTAGTGTATTATTCCTTTATTGTCCTCTCTCTCTATATATATTTAGTATACTCTAGGGTGTTCCCTCTCTTCGGTAAATAGTCTCTCTTTCTCTCTCTCTTCTTGACCACTGATGATCAAGAGACCAGTGTTCATTTGGTTAAAGTGTGGGTTTTGAGCTCATACAGGTTTCGACCTTCAGTAAATACTAGTTGATACTTATCAAAATAAATAAATACTAGTTGATACGCTGCTCAGTTCCTATGTTGGAGGATTTTTACCAGCCATTTGACCTGATTAATGGGTCTGCAACAGGTGAGCTGATTTGAATCATTTTAATAACTTGTTAGCTAGTGAGGTGCAGGAAGCTGCGTTAATATAATTTGATAAAAAAATTATTAATAGCTTGATTCTAAATTCAGGACATACTCCGCCCCGGTATAACCCGTCTCACCCTGACCCACTCCGCCATTAAACGGGGCGGGGACGGGATCCTCAATACCTTCCTAGGACAGCGATGGTATTGTTACCAAAAACTCATCTCGGGGTCAGGACGAATATGGTATGAAAGATTTTCCGACGGGGCAGGGTAAGGTCTAGCCAAACCTGTCCTGAACCCACCCCATTTCCATCCCTAAGTTCAGTCCCCCAGATCAAAATTTCTGGCTACGCCAATGCTTTTCAAAATGGAGAAATACATACTCATGTAGTTGGCGGTGTTAAAAATTGCAAGTTCAGAGCATGTAATCATAGTAGTGAAATTGGCAATGGAAGTAGTGGATCATTAAAGCCTCTAATTGTACTCAGATTGTGATGGTGACAAATAGCGAAAGGTAGAAAAATGTTTGTGACAGTGACCACGGGCTGTTGAAAGCAATATGTGACGCTGTTAGTGACATGTCGCTGGCATTAGTGGTAGGGTAGTGATGGTGTTGCAGAAGAAATGATGATGATGGAGGTGGACACAAACAACAATTCAGATATTTTAAACAATGATTGATGCATAACAGCAGCATATTTTAAACAGTCAGATGCCAATAGATAGGATTCATACGCACAATTGTTCAAGTAAATTTAAATCAAATACCTGCTGATCCAGTACTATGCTGATGGACTATCTTTTGATTTTAGGGTGTGTGTGTGTACCCACGTGTGTTGACAACAGTTCCTTTAACAATTGAGCTCTTGGCAATCTAATCATCAGCCACATGCTAAACACTAATGGTTATCAAATTATAATGGCTTTAGACACATTGTCCAGCAAAAACATCATTCATTAATCAAGCTGACGAAAAACATTTGCAGACGTCAGTTTTATATTAAGTACTCCATTTGTGTCTTGTTCCACAGGAAAATTTTAAACTAAGTATATTTCAGCAATTTGACAATAATAAGAAAACTTTTAACTGTGAGAACTAGCTTCCAATATGAGGAATAGCAAAGCTTACCTTCTCTGACGTAGCCGTCCTTTTCTTGGAAGAAAATCAGCCACAGTATCCACAGTTAATATTCCAGCTACATAACCCTTATTGAGACTAAATTTTCCATCAAAGCCTCCAATTTTGAAATCTTCGCTCCCAAATAAGAAGCCATCATCAACTGAGTTACCAACAACAGCAACTAGACAAGTTCTCCGACAACCATTTGGTACAGAAAATCCTGACAGCATTGCCACCAACCTATCAACCCTCAACATAAAATCTAAAGGGAATTGGTATTCAGGGAAGAAGGAGCTACAATGTGTCTCAGCCACTTCCCAACAGTCCTCTAACCTGGCCTCCCGAACAAAAATCTCGGGTGACACGGCCGGGAACAATTCTACCACTTGACTGGCTCTGCAAAGCCCTACACTCCAAAACAGAATCACCCAATTAGATCTTTGATAGTCCCAACAACCACAATTATGTGAAAGCTTAAAACTCCAATGTCTTAGCAGACTATGTGATTGTCTAACCTACAATAACTAAAGTTTCCAAATTAAGAAACTAGTCAGCAAAATCCAGATGCAGACAATACTCTAAACTTTGGCAATAAGTCCAAAATTTCAGCTCAAAATCAAGGGGAGGGTAGGCAATTAAGTCCAAAGTTCAAAAAAATTGGGCATTTAAACATTTATTACTCGTTAGCTATATAATTGGTTGAACAATTCCAGAAATTCGTGAAATTTGGCCACTAGAAACAAAAAAGAAAAAGGGTGTGTACGCATTATTCCATCATATAATAAATTCTCTACCAATCATATGTGCATGTACTAAAAATTTTAAGAATACACTGCAAAATTATATACACATGCATATAGATTTCTAAAGGAAGGGAGAGAGAAAAAGGGTACCTGATTTGGGGGAATGGGAGAGTGAGAATTCATCAGTTGAGCTAGGAACCCTAGAGGAAGCAGCAAAGGGTAGCTTCTTGAGATTAGGAGAGAAGTTGTTTATGGCGGTTGCAGTTGTTGTTGTTGCTGACACTGAGGTTCCCAACGGTATTGTCAGCATTTCTAGGAAGATCTCTCTCTCACTCTCACTCTTATCTGACTCACCCACCCACAATTCTATGTGTCGCGGAAGATATCAGAGATTCCAAAAGCCCCACCCCTCTCTCTCCTCTCTCTCTCTCTCTCGACAATCGAAGATTCATTGGGAAGGAAGGGAATTTGAGTCCCAAAACACACACGTGTGTCCCTGAAAATATATAGCACACACGTGTGTCCCCAATATATATGTATATTTGAGTATATATCTATGGACAAAACTTCTATGATTAAATGCTCCAAGTTTTTTTAGCCACACTAGTAACTTAATAAGCGGTGTCCAACAACTTCAATAAAAGCAGTAGAAAACACACTTGTGGGAATATTTGTCACTTATTCACTATCCATAGAATTGTATGAAAGCGATACAGAAGAATATAACTAAAAATTGAATGGGAGATATTTTTAAGAATTTCATAATTTATAAATAAATAAAAAAAAAAAATTGTCATTGTTTGTAACTTAGGAAAGTGAGAGGACATTGGCGTGTGTTTGTGAGCGTGAACGATACATGCTTAAAATGTGGAGTGAGATGATTTTTTCTTATATTAATATCACTTGAAGTGATTTTAGAAAAAAGAAAAATAAATACCCATTTATAATGATATAAATGTGATACAATGTCTCTTACATTGTGTTAGCCATTTGCCACTAGGGAATGATTTAAATTGTTTTCATTTAATTATAATTTTAAACTGTAAATAACAATTAACTCACCCCAAATGATGGAATAATTTAAGAGGAATGCCTTATTGTAATTATTGTCCATCAATGATGTTAAATAATTGATATCATTCATAATTACCATTGTTGAATGTCATTCATTTATATTGCTGTAAAAAATTAGTGCGCACCAGGCACTAATTTGGATCTCTTGCAGGAATTACCTACTGAAGGGAAATGAAGTTCCACTCACCCAAAAGAAAACCTATACAACAGCAGATATTCATTCTAGCTAGGGCAGATACATTCCAACGTGTATAACCAAATGAAAACTTTGTTAACAACTTAGTAAAATTACCATCAACTCATTCTATTACCATAAATATACTACAATTACTTCACTGATGCACCAGCAGTAACTTCTTTCTCTAAAGGAGAGGTTGAGGGTTCGAGCATCGTGGAGTGTGCCAAAGCGTGTGAATTCCAAAAAAAAATGAAATCGGAAAAATTTGAGCAATGTCCCAAGAGCAGCAATTGTTTTACCAGGCTTTTACAATTAAAAGGGGGAGATTTAGAAATGTTTTCCACAAGAAGATAGATACAGTGTGGCTCTCTAGTTAACACATGGGTAATTTTGAGTAATTTTTCCTCTACATCACATACTATTTTTTTTTTTTTCCCTGTTAAATATCCACACTCAATAACTTAATTCAAATAAATCACACATTTTTGTATCAGCACATCGTGCCTGCTTATAATTTGTCAAAGAAACTGAAAAATCTATCTTCTTCGATTCCATGGGTAACTTCAATTCTTTCGCATGATCGTGTCTTCTTCTTTATTTTGTGTCCTTGGTGTGTGTATGAGCTCTCGCGCCTACGCAGCAAGACAGACATGAAAGTTCAGATACCTAGAAATTGACAGGTAGACTAGTCAAGAAAGCTAAGGTCATGGGAGATGTGGACTTCCCGAATAAGGAACACCAAGAAGGAAGCTTCCGAAGAACTGTTTCCGTTTTTGGTGTCAATCTGTCCACGTCAGTTCTTAATTTCAGAAGGAGATGCGGGTCCTTCATGTGCGTCAGCTTGGCAGAATTTTTCGCCCACAAAAGAGTCAGATTAAACCTTGTTGGGGACTTCTTCCCTCCTGAAAACTGAATAATGTGCCATCCTTTAATGCTGTTTTTGTCCCCGAGGGGAACTAACTCTTCACTGTTATCTGCACTCGAGAAGAGAGTTCAGAAAGAGGAAGGTGAGAAGGTAAAATTCCAAGTACAAATAGCAATCATATCAGATCAACTTGGCACAAAAGGACTTTGTATAGAATCAAGTCCTTTATTCCACAGAATTCCCTTTAACATTTGCATTTCTCCTTTGATGGAACTTATTTTGAAAAAGTAACAGTATCATAGATTTAGTGTGAATTCGGTGCTTAACCGGAGAAATAAAGACAATAATGCATCTTTTAAAGCTCAAATATTTACAGCTAATAATGAGTTTCAGCAACTCTTCCATTGTAGTGCAAATCATAATAGTTATATGATAAGTGAGTTAATAATCCTTTTCCTTTTTTGGTAGGTAAATTAAGTTGAGTGATTAATTAATCACTATAAAGTATAAACTAGCATTTTAGCAAATATAAATTAATATATATTTAACAAAGGTTGTTGAAATCACGCTGTCAGTATTAGATGAGCTAAGCTAAGTACAATTCTTACCGCAGAGTCTCAGAGACATCTGCAGTAAGAATTTGACAGTTACTTTAAGGGACTAAGATTGGGCCACACATTAAATAATTGGGTAATTAAATAATTCTTTAGATGCTAATATGCTATGCTATATATATGTATGTATGAGCATTTCTCTCCTTGCTTTTTCTCTTGTATGTATGAGCATTTAGTTGAGGGTTCGAGTTCCCAACGGGGGCAATAATGGGTGCGTGCATTTGTCTTTCCTACCAGAAAAAAAGAAAAAGAAAAAGAATTATCCTATATATGTATGAATATATGTATGTATATACACTATATGTTGTTTAAGAAGAGAGAACACAGATGTAGAAGAGAGGAGTATGGTACAAAGAGAAAGTAGGAAGTAAAATAGGGGGCATTTTGGTCCATGAAAAAAAATGTAGACTGAAAATCGGTGTATTGGTAATTAGTTTGAAAAGTAGGATGGATTTTGTAATTATTAATGCATGTTGGGCTTTCGGTACACACTTGCCCAATAACCAAGGGTAATAGTCTAATGGTATCTCCTCTACCTTCCAAAATGAAAGGTCCAAGGTTCAAGTCCCCATAGGGACAAATGAGTGTGTGTAATTTGGCAGGGGATATAGGCCCTAAAGTTGGTAACTGTGCAATTTTCCCTAAAGTTATATATATATATATATATATATATAGAGAGAGAGAGAGAGAGAGAGATATTGGCCCAATAGTTGGTCACTCTGCAATTTTCTTTAAAGGTATATATACAAATATATACTACATATATTTTATATATATACATTTTTTTTTTTTCATAAGTGTATATTTTATATATATACATTGGCCCAATAGTTGGTCACTCTGCAATTTTCCCTAAAGTTAAATGACACCCAATTATAGAAGTCTTACAATATATATATATATATATAGAGAGAGAGAGAGAGAGAGATATTGGCCCAATAGTTGGTCACTCTGCAATTTTCTTTAAAGGTATATATACAAATATATACTACATATATTTTATATATATACATTTTTTTTTTTTCATAAGTGTATATTTTATATATATACATTGGCCCAATAGTTGGTCACTCTGCAATTTTCCCTAAAGTTAAATGACACCCAATTATAGAAGTCTTACAATGAAGAATGAACTGAAACTAGAACTTATCTCACAAACCCACAATTAGAAAATTTCTTATAATGACGCCCCACCCAAATGGACTTATATTTCCAACACCCTCTGCATTTGGAATTTTGGATTATATATATATTGCATTAAATAACGAAAATTTTACAGAAAAGTTCAACAATTAGCATTACAAGATCTAAGAAAATATTATTGTGTAAATTTCAAATATGGGCACCTTAACTACTAAAGCACCATAATTACAAAATGGCAGTGTTATCTTAGTCACTTTATCTTGAAAATCAAACAAAATTAACAATGTAGTTCTGAAAGGGTAACCGAATTCCGCAAAAGTTTGTATGTTGAAGATGGTTAAAAGGCATTCAAATGAGCATTTACACATTCATTGTCTGATTTGTAGAGTTAACATAGTTTTGAAGGATACACTCACTATAATCTTCTGTCATCAACATAACATTTTCTATAGAACAATATATAACTCACTCTTTGCTAAGCACTTTTAACAATAAATAAAGAACTAAAATTAACAACTTATATTGACTAGTGAACAATACATTCAGAACTATTCAAGCCATAAATTATACACAGCATCAGTATCTCAAGTAGTTAGACACCTTTCTCTCATCATTTTCTCATCTCTAACATTAGTTACTTAAAAATCCACTGTAGAGTTTCATAAGTACATGGGCTGTACCCATTATGTAAAAATACTTGAAAACCGATCCAAAAATTCTCTCTTGTTATGACCCAGTGGCAAACGTCATTTATAAGGACTTACACTAATCATGGTGGGCCCTGCTTCATAAATCTAAATTCCAGAGATCCGCTTGATTGAGTTTTGACACTGATTTCCGTAGCATGAAATTATTCAAGTTCTTACATTAAAAAAATTCAAATGACTTTCCTAAATGAGTTCGGTAAATTTGATCAATGTAAAAGATATCAAATGGTAGATCCTGACACGATGGATTTTAATTGGTTGCTTGAGCCAACTAAAGAAAACTCACCGAAGCAAACCAAGCAATTACCCAAAACAATAGGGACCCTTTAAGTCAAGAGAAACTTGAGGTGTGTGCTAATTATCAATACAAAAACTACTACAAGTTTTTATATTAGTAAACTGAGGGTAAAGCGAGTATGAATAGTATACTAGCAATTAAACCAAAAGGAAAATGAAAATAAGAACTGATAAAGAAAAAGAAAAAGATACAGGTTAGCTAGAATTCATAATACCTTTGATATTGAAGTCCATTATTTCTTTAGTATTGATTTTAAGAGACCAGCGTGTTGAAACTTTTGTATCAATCGAAACTTGAGTAATTCTGTCATATCCCTTTATATCACTATCAACATGCAGGGTCGGAATATCTGATTCGCTCCATCCACTTCCTGCATCCTGGTGGCTCCAGCAACCATATTGAACTGAAAAAGTCACGAAATCAAGAATCTTCTCTCTACCACAGACAAAACCTTCTCCTATCTGTTCAGCCTCCTTCGTCAACTTTCCAGGAGTTGTTGAAAATAGAGAAATGTAAGAGTCGGGTTCCAGATTTGTTCCATATTTTGTTGTATTTACAACATGCACAACCTGAGAACCATATACCATTTGTAATTTCCATCAATTTTAGTTTGTATCAGCAGCTCATGTTTGCAAATGAAATCTCATGCAGCAAAAGAACAAACAGTATGAAATTTCTCTCATGAGTAACGATTTAAAGATAAACTGGGAATTGAAGTACCAACGGAAAAACATTACACAGCAGGAAGCCCAGAAATAGACTCTAGTAGTTTAAGGAGTTTCTGAAACTCATGTACACAACACTAGTGACTGAGATTATTCTACTTACACAAAAATTCCTTTTATTGACTTTAAAGCAGTGCAGATCATCTGAATTGTGCCTTTTTTCTTGCACTGACGATTCTCAAGTTTTTAATTCCTCTAATATATTATTGCTGATGTTCTTAGGCACAAAAATCAAACAAGACCCACATCTAGATTCTGTAAAATTGACCCACATAACCACTTATCTCGTAGGAATAGAACACATATTCGAAATATGGTGTCACCCAAGACCTTCCAGTTATGCGACTTAGTTAACGCAGTAGGAATTGGCAGCTGGCTTTTTGATTAGGACATTTTACAGAAAGACAATTAAAATTTAAAATGAATGTACAAGTAAGAAAAGTAAGCAAAATCCTCCACGGGGTAGCCAAGTTGGCATAAGGCCTTTGGCCATGACCCAAAGATCCTGTGTCCAATTCCTTGGAACATAAAAAACCTCCACACTGGGATTACCCAACAGCCATGGTTTGGGGATGATTGCGGGTACTTGAAGGGAATATTTTGCCCCCGGAAGGGCTGGGACACCCTCCATTATATAAATATCTGTGTGTGTGTGTGTTTTTATAGCAAACTAGGAAGACAAGAATGGAATACAATATCGAATTCACTCACACTTGTATGCAACTCAAGAAACTGAAGGACATACTAAACAAAGTCAAAGTTGTGGAGAACCAGAGAAATTGTCCCCAAGTTGCTCAACAGTTATCATTCATATAGCCTCAAATGTTAAATAATCATTCAGCCATGGATATGAATGTGCAAATCATCTAGTTTCCCTCATTTATTTAAAGTGTCTTAAGTAATTTCACAGGCTAACATAATGATCCAAAATGAATGGAGAATTTTTTTTGTACTACCTATTTTAAAAAATAAAAGATATATACAAAATTAATGTTGTCATCCAATGACACTGTGGAGAACTGTAATAAAATAAAGATTAAGGAAGGAATACATAGTGACTGATAACTGATTCGGGTTTATGAGAGTAAGATCCAATATGGAGGCTATTTACTTAATTAGGCAATTAAAAGAAAATTATAGAACCAAGAATAAAGATCTCCACATGGTCTTTATAGACTTAGAGAAGGCATATGATAGAGTACCAAGGGATATAATTTAGTGAGATTCACAAAGAAAACAGGTATGAAATTTACAGAGATTATTCAAGAATTATTTATAATGAGACAAAAACTAAAGTTCATATGTGGAGAGACTAGTGATTTTTTATAATAGTAGGATTACATCAAGGATCAGTACTAAGCCCACACCTATCTACAATAGTTTTAATTGAAATAACTAAAGATATACAAGAAGACAATCTATTGTGCATGTTATTTGTTGATGGCATAATGCTATTAGATACTTTTAAAAGAAGCCTTATGAACAAATTGGAAATATGGAGAAATACACTAGAAGCAGGAAGGCAAGAATTAAAAAGACTAAAACAGAAGCATAAATGTACACCTTCCACATCCAATAACAAATTGACAATTTTTATTCAATTAACACATTTGGTACACAATTATTTGTATAGACACTATTGATGCTAAGGACCAATGTCACTTACGTTTACAGCTCTGGAAGTGTCTTCAGTAAATGGTGGAACAATACCAGATAATACTGCAATCAGCGAAAGGCCAAACATAGTACAGGTTGCAAGGATAATTGGCAATTTTGCACCTAGATACCAATTCACAATCAAATTAAATTGCATTTATTAAAACCAAGTACATACATAATCTCAAGAAAGTAATAAATGATGTATCTAGAAGAATTATGGGAAAAACACAAGAATCAGAGCCTGCGTGAAGGGGGGAAAGGAAAATAAATAGTTAAATGAGCTGAGCATCCACATTCATACCTAAAGTCTTTCACTCACTGCCCAATGCCTTTCACACTTCACTTACTGCCCACCAGAGCAAACACTAAATCCAGGCTTTTTAATTGGCCACCGCACAATTGACCAGTGGTCATAATGGAAATATATCAGATGGTTATCACTATTAGTCACCTGATTTTTATGATCATGATAGACTTAAGTACTAGTTCAAGAATTTAATTGTACGCAAGGGAAGCATTTTTCTTCAGGGTGATTTTCTGACAAAGATAACCCATTAACCATACTCAATCAGTATTGTATGTATACTAAAGGGCATTACATGCATGAATTGACTCCTGCCTATGCGTGGTGTTGGAAAGGAAAGATGAAAACAAACCTTATGTTTGACATCATTTTGCATAAAGTAGCTGCTCAACCCGCATCTCACACTTTTCACAAGTATTGCACGTATACTACAATTTTATATGTTTGGATCATGATACGCAATAAACTGAACTAGGCCCTTCCTAAAGAAATATTCCTCACATCATAAACTATAGTACCAAGGGTGTCAGTCGACACTTGCATATAGATCAGCTAACCTATCCAACACAGATGGTGGAGTTTGATTCATCTAGTTGATATACAATAAAAACTGGAACATGTTTTGGATCCTCATATAACATGCCTGGCAATGCACACTATTTAGCCAGTCAAGATTTGAAAAGTAATAATAATAATAATAAGAAATTATTTCTCTTAATTTTTTTTATCATTTCTTTTCATATTGTATGTCTCTGATAGAATTTAGTTGCTTTTTCATTAATTTCAAGACCATGTGTTCCCAAAGAATAACACAATGTTTGGTGGGGCAGCTTTGTGACCATTAGGGCATGAAAATAGAATGTTTAACCAGAACTGTCCATGTATTCCAGGTTTAGACCCTTGTAATATGATTTGGATCCAAATCCTATTCCTAAGTTCCATATGGGTCCTGCTATGATGCTTCTATTAGAATTATATACATAAACATATACATATATATACATATATATATATATATATATATATATCCATCCTATCTATTTACAAACTTAAATTCTAGATGACCATCTGAAATTGTTTAAAAGTTGCCAAAACATGAGTTTCATGAGGAATTTGGATCTTTGAAGGATCCTATGTTGTTAAGTTCCATCCCTATATGGGACCAGTCACCCTAGAGCAGAATGATATGGATTTAGACCAAGACTTATTTATATCTTGAATGCAGACACACACTCTCTCTCACACACACACACGCAGAGGAAGATCTATTCGATTTCATGCCATGGCGTTCATCCATTTTCTAACCAGAACTTCCACAGGATAAAGCCACTGTTCTTCCTGGTTTGGTTATTCTAAATTCTGTATCAAAATTGACCCATTCACACCCTACCTGATAGCATTTATTTCTAACAGTATGCCAGTATCACATGCAACCAAAAACATAATTGCAGTAAACCAATACCTGAAATGTGAACATATGAAAGGAGATACACCAACGTCAGACATATAATAACGGCAATGTACATAGCAAGTATGACATTCCCCAGCCACTCTGGAGTGCTACCAGGATTCCTGCACACAAATGAAAGGCCATTATACCAGTCATACCCTAATCGTCTAACAAATTAACAAAACAAAATTTAAAATTTCAGAGAGAGAGCACACATTAATAAAGCATGAATAAAATGGGTATTATCTATGGATTTGATGAATGTATGGAGGGTTAGGTACTAGGCGTCTCTGATAAAAAGCTTTATGGGGGAACAATTGTAGAGATACTAGGCAGAAAGAAATGGTTGGGGCAAGTTCTGGCACGAAATTCAAGAAGTATGGTAGCACTTTAGAGGACTGGTTTTCAAGAGAGATTTGCTTGTTGCATGGGGTGGGTTCGTAGAAATCAACAACGAATGGTTCGGAAGATTTGCCAATGTAAATCAGATTATTGGTCAGCAATGGGCAAAGAGAGTTAGCTTCTGGCTTTGATCATTGATATGGAGACAGTCCACTGATGAGTACTTTTCTGAATCTTTTCCGTATTACTGTTGGTATGGAGGCTCGACTTGCATATGGCATCAGGATGTTGGAGAGTGAGTTCGTGTGGGACCTCATATTTCATAAAATTCCAGGATTTGGAGGTGGAGTGGATTGCTGCTTTTCTTAGCCCAGTGTATGATTAGGTGGTGAAAGTGGTGAGGAGGTTTCTCTGAGATGGTTAGCTTTGAAGTGGAAACGGTTTTGAGGTTTGCTCCTATTGGCAAGCCTTGAAGTGAGGGTTTCACTCAGAAGGCTATTTGGAGGTCTAAAGTGCCTTATCAAGGTTGCTCTTTTTTCTTATAAACAGTGCCCTTAGAACCAAGCACTGATAATGTGCCAAACAGGTATCATTGTATTACTAACAGGTTCTTTATGCACAAGAATGATGGGAAGACTATAATTATTGGTTCACTATCATGCTGTGGGAGACTTGTAGGCTCCGCTCCTCTCCCTTTTCAGATTGCAGTGGGTGGTCTTTCCTAATTTTACAGTCAAGATATTGGTCATTGTTAGAAGTTTTATATATATATATGTTGGGTCATTATGTAATTACATTTAGTTGATAGGACCCTTGTGTTATTATGCAAGACTTGTACCCTTTATATATAAGCCTACACAGGCTTATTAGGTTAGAGTGTTGAATGTACAGTATATATGTTTTGCTCTCTCTCTCTCTCTCTCTCTCGATTTTGAACAGTCATCTGACAGGATGCTAGAGGGAGTAGCAGAATTTGTCCAGCAGAATTTGTCCAGTATGGCGGCAGCACCCCTTTGCTTTGCTGGTGCATGTGGAAGGACAGGAATAGATGTTACTTTGAGGGTGGGGATGTATGCATTGTGAATGAGTCTTTTCTAGAGTTCTTATGATATGAGGGTCTAGTTTCTATATACCTTTTTGTGCATACTCCTGTTGCACCCTAATTGTGCCTCGTAATGAAAATTTTATCAATCAAAATAAATAGTGCCTTGCTTAACTATAAAAACATGGGAAAGGGGAAAGTAAAAGAAAAGAAAGAAATGGGTGCTTGTTCTTAAATTATGATTGTGCAGTATTTCCCAGGAAGAGTGACAGAGAACCGTGATAGTTGATACTAGTAAGTGTAGGACATGACTTTTGGGCAGACAACCAATTACAATATTAAATTCTACAACCAAGAGGGGGATATCCAAGAAATTCAGATCCCGATCACATCAAGACAAGCATTGTAACCTACTAGATGATAGAAAAATCTCTGATCAATGAAATGAATACCAATTAAATTCAAATATAATTCCTTCATCTAACAAAGAATAAATTTAGCCTGAACATGACTGCCAACGAAGAAAGAAAAAACAAAGAATACTTCGATCCCCGAGTTTGTTTTAATGTATCTCTTGAACACTGACACACTTTCTGCAAGCTTACAACTTACCAAGCTCTATCACAAGTACCACCAACAAAAACACAGAAAAGGAAGAAACAGAAATTCAATCACAGAGATAGTTTTAGTAAGTCACTGTGCTTTTATAGATTAACAGCATCAGAAGTTTACCTGTCAAACCGAACTGCAATCCCAATAATTGTGCCTGCTAGCTGAATAAATATGCCAGCAGAAATTAAAAATGGCACTGATAAGCCCACCAGCAGCGTTAAAGTTTTGAGTGGCTTTGGTATCCGGGCTGGGGATAAAGTTGCTTCAAGCAAGCCATCTAGATATTCCAAAACATATAATTAGTTTAAAGCAAAGACTGTCAATAGAATTAATCCTGTCTTGTCAATGAATATGAGCTATGCTACAAGAACAATTTATGTAGTTTATTAACAGTATAGCATATGTCAACATTTGTCATGTCAAATACGCACTGTCAGAACTGTACTTCTCAAGATTTCAGTCTTTTTTATTTTTATCCTTAAATCATGGTGTCTATGGTCTAACACCTCATATCATATTTTGTCTAGACACTCAGGATTCTTACTACCGAGGAATAATACTTGTGAACGTATACTTACATGAAAATGCAGGTGAGACTAGCCAAACAAGTGCTAAATAAGAAGACCCAATCTTAAAATAATTTCCAATCATCAGAAGGATGAGCCACTGCACCAAACCAGCTTTATAGAGCCATCTTTCAGCATCTAACTTGGCCAAATTAGCTTGCGTAACAGGAGACAGATTCACCATTCTTTCGGAAATTACTTTCGACAAATATGTTTTAAGAATCAGATAACCTAAATGTTGGCCAGCCAACGCTCCAAGGAGAGCAGGAGCAGCAAATAAACCAACTACCAACCATGGGCTTGAAACAAAGGGCACTGGTGTTGAGGATGCGAATGGTAGAACGAAGGCAACAAGAGCAGAGAAAGTTAATGAGCATGTCCACATGAGGATAACTGTCAAGCATGACAAGGCCAATGATATCACAGCCGAATAACCACCCATTAGCAGTGAAGTAGTCCATATCAAGAGTGATTGCATTATGACTGAGTTATTCATCATATTGGCAAATCGTTGTCGGTATACGACCATGTATGTCCCCTGATATTGCCATTACATGGGTGTCAGAAATTAACATAACATGCAAACTTGATTTCAGGGTAGTCAAAATACCAGCGCAAGCACTTCAATTGTTGAGAAAAAGAAAAAGAAAAAAAAAAACAAAGGGTTTAGCCAAGAACAGTAATAAGAGTCCAAGTATGTATAAAGATACCAAAATGTCAAAGAATATAGCAGGGTTGTGGCCAGTTTTTTCATCTGCTTCCATTGCCTTGCCTTGAGGAAGTTTAGAGGAAGCCCCAGCATGAAGTAGAAATGCAAGCATATTTTCTCCAAGATGCTGAAGAGAACCCGATTTCAAAAGCTCTAATTTGTCATTCTGCATAGGGAAAATATTTATAATTTATCAGTATCATAAGTAATGTAAGTATGGGTCTTTTGTAAAGTATTGCTATAAGTAGTTAATCAAGTCTGAAGTGGTGATTGAATATTGCGATAGGAGAAGATTAGGGTAGAATGTAGAAAAACGACAGAAGCGTACAGAATGTGGACCACCAATCAATGAACTTGTCCCATTGCAGTACCAAATTTATAGCGGTTTTTACACATGCCAACAGCTGGAATAATCATTAGCGTGCTACATGTCCCTCTTAACCTCCTGATCAAGATGCAAGAAGAGCCTTAGTGTGCAGCTCAACTGCAGTCTACAGCCACTCACCGCGCCTCAACTTGCCCCTTGCCCTAATTTAAGCCTCCACATCTCAAAAACCCAAAATCTTGTGTTGGTGGACCATCAGCAACACTTCGTTGGCCATGACATGGTCACACTGGTCATAACGCTGTGCTCAGAAACACCATGATGCCCTGATATAAAACACAAGGAGTAGGTTATCCTAGGATAAATTGATTTGTTACATCACCCAGTGGTAGGCAATGTATCGCTTTTAAAATTGGATCACAATAATACCACAGCAGGACTAGGGCTCCAAGACAGCATGCATCCAGTTGCCACACTGCTATTACAAGTGCCCTTAATTGCAGAAGGGTTATATTACCATCTAGAATGCTCTTTTTTATAAATCGAATGGATATATAACGACTCCAGGAATGTCCTGCTGTGTAACCTTTCCCTGACACATTCACGAGTTGCATTCTCCTTTCCACCGCTGCCTCACACCTGGGTAATCCCCCTTTTGATTGTATTTTATTGAGTCATGCATGATCTCCCTCTCTTACAAGTAATGGACTAAATTCACAGAGTAGACACTAGAGGGTGGCATCGCGCTATATGCATTTAACTTACATCGCACTCTCTCAGCATAAGCTTCCTTCCATTTTGCAAGAGAATTTTATGGGTGGTTACAATGATACCATCAGTTTGTGTCCACTTTGTAGAGAATTTTGTGCATGGGAGTTATGGATGATATGGCATAATTTTTAAATTGAGTGAAACTATTCATTTCTCTTTTATTTTAAGAAAAAAGAGCAGGGACATTCTAGGAATAATATGAGGACCTCTGGTGAATAGCCAACTTGATATACTAGAATGCAAGTATAGATAATTGAGCACACACTGCCTAAGTCATTACATGCCACAGTGCCATGGAAAAGGTTCCTATAAATTTCTTAGCAGCATCAAATGAAAAAGAAAAAGATGTTATATACAGATTAACCCAAAGGTGTAATATGTACCCATACAAATCTTATGCCAATAAAGGTAAAAATGTTTTTTTATGTGAATGTTCTAATAAATCCTAACTAAGAAGGGGGCAGAACTATGTAGAGAGTAGTGATAGTGGGGGACCATGGGCCATGGCACCCCCAAAATTTTTGGAAAATCCAAAAAATAGGTCCCCTTTAGATGGTGAGTTTCAAAAAACTAGAAAGATTTAACATGTGGCCCCTCCAAAAATTTATAAAGAATCTCTACTTGATTTCATTTTAGTTCTTATTTTTGGAAGTTCCACTTTTTTGAAGGAAATTTCAATATTCCATATATAACCCCTATCCCTAATATTTTTCTCATTTTATGCACCTAGTGATTATGGAATAATTTTAATCTATAAATAATCTTCGTATATCTACTTTCCAAAAATTATATTGTAAAGAAAATTATTGCACTTTCTAAATTTTTCAAAATTATCTTCATACTATTAATTTGGCCCCCGCAACTAAAATTTTCTGGGTCCCCCTCTGTAACTAGGTAAAATTTATGCACAAGTAATAATTCTTACTGCGTGGCACACACTGCCTGCCACACATCTATCAACGAAAGGTTGCCTCAGGTTGTAGCACATCACTACACTATGTGCCACTACTGGTCATCAAAAAGTGGTATGCCATGACCTCTGTACATATGACTCTGGCATCAACCCAGAAGTCATGTCTTTCTGTTTTCCAACAATTTCAGGCCACTGTCATCCAGAGTTCAAATATTAACAGACTCATATCAAATTATTGGATTGACAACTAGGCAAAACTTTAATGTCAGTTATTCATACTTTATATCTGATCAAACAAAGTTGCTGGGTTGGAAAAAGAAAAAACAAAAAAGAAAGTTGCTGGATTTCGTGATAAGTAGCTAAAAGCTAAAAGAGTGGTTATGGTGACTGAAATAAGAATATATAAAAATTGCAAAAAACCAGAGAATGTAGAGAAGAAATATCCATTATCTAGACGAATGTGAAAAAATAACCTTTGTGTGATATACAGCGCTGTTATCTAAGTACGCAAAGTCAAGCCCGGAAAGACCTGCAACCTCTTTGTAAACTTGGAAATCTGTTGCAGATTTTATTGCTCCAGAAGAAAAAAGATCCTGCAGCACTCAAGCCACTTGGAATATAAGTTTGGGTCCTGATTGATTGAAACAACAACTCTACTATAAATAGTTGTAAAAGGATAAATCCCATATTTGAGTTGTGACAACTAAATGTTAAGATAATAATAACATAGCACCTACACACCTGTGCGATGACCTGACCAGTTGGGAACTTTGCTACCGTGGCAAAATTCTCAATAGCCCATGGATGAGGACCAGCCTGTCAAAATGAAGAATGAAAAATAAGGAAAATAATAAATAATAAAATGAAATAACAAAATAACCAAATTGCTCGACAGATTATATTGATCAATCAAACTAGACAGAGGCCATGGAGCAAGTTAATCGAAGATCATTTTTCCACATTAAGTTCCCCACTGAGAAATATGTACAACTTCGTTTAAAATTTGACATTATTGGCATAGACGCGACCAATGAACCAGAAAGTTCAGATTTATGACATGCAATTGTATTGTGTGGAGAGGGAGGGAGAGAAAGGGATAAAGAGAGAGAACAAATAATAACTAAATGGTTATGAATAATATCAGACCTGAAATATGCTAGATTTCCCTCCGATACCCATAGCCTCCAAGTCAATAGCCAAACGAACAGTACTGCTCCATGGATGCTGCATTGATAAATTGGAGGTTATGCCCTCCACATCTGAAAATTGGGTTTCTCTTAAAAAACATAAGCTTTTCATATTTTTGCTTCTGAAGCAAGGCTAGCAGAATAATTCATCATGTAACAATGTGTGAAAACTCATAGATAGGTTAAGGAATAGGAGTAGGGATGGGGATGGGGGAGCTTCAATCAGCTATCATAAGAAGAAGGAATTTACGGAACACCCATGCACACATATACACATACATATATATTTGCAATTATAAAAGACGGCAAGCCTTGGCGCAACGGTAAGGTTGCTCCATTGTGACCTAGAAGTCACAGGTTGGTGGAAACAAGGAAACAGCCTCTCCGAGTCTCCGCATGCGGTAACAAGGCTGCATACCCTCCCCAGACCCTGTAATGGTGGGAGCCTCAGGCACTGGGTTTGCCCTTTTTTATATATTTCTTTTGTCCTAGTTCCCTTTTTTATATATGCAATAAGAATAATATAAAGTAGCTTAGTTACATTATATCATCATCTGCAGTGTGCCATAGGCTACAGAAAGTTATCATATTCAAAGAAATATTATAGTCAAAACAAAGACTTAGTAGTCCATTGACTAAATCAACTAGCTTCCACAAAGTAAGAAGCTAAGCCATGAAAGCTAGCATTCCTGACTAATCCCACCATTTTCCCTTCTTTTCTTCAATCTCTCTTTTTACTGTGCTTCAGAATGTGCATGCATAGATGGGTGTTAGGTATATGAGTCATGCGTTAGCAAATTCCTACTCAAAACTTGTATTGTAATGTGTCTGAAGTTGTTTGAGTATATATGTTGAAGACATGGCAAACACAAAATTGCGAAGCACACAGTGTGAAATTCGCATACTCAATCACATATCTAGGGTACAGGTAAATTGACCTAGTTTGATCTCGGAGAGGCTCACAAATTTATTTTGATTTTGTTTTAGAAAAATGGCCTTTTAAATGAACAGTAGTATGCATTGATCGAATGGTCCATTGATCGAAAAATTGTCCAGTAGCCATTGATCAAATGGTCAATCGACCAAGTTTTAACTGAAAATTATTTTGTGAAAACTGGTATTCCTCGATTGAAGCGTTAATTGACCAAGGTCTGTCCAGTAGGCTTCGAATCAAAGGGTCGATCAATCGAACTTGGCAGATACATATTTATGAAAACTCTCTCAAAAACAAATATTACGAGAATTCTACTTACTAAATTTATGGGCTACCTATATTGGCTATAAACATGGAGTTATAGTCAATCTGGGAATAACTTTGAAGACTTTAATTATCTAAAGAGAGAAAAATCCTTGAGAGAGAAAAAATCCCATATTACATAATCTAAGGTTTCCATAGATTTCACTATACGTGAACTCGGCGATTCAATTCGATAACAAATCAAATTGCATTGCAGAAGGGCAGACAATCATTAGAGAAGCGGATTGTGAGGAGCGAAGTCTGTTGACAAGTGGACGGCTTGCCTACAGAATTGTGTGGAAAGTTTGGCGTCAATTTGTGTTAAGAGATCACTAAAAGTTTTAGGGTGTGGGAACTGCCAACCTGGCTGTAATGTCTTTCTCGAATACTGGACTGTGTTTGTTGGACTTGGTCCAGTGGTATTTCCCATTTGGCTCACATAAAAATTTGTGTCTTTGCTTTACTCTTCTTTATTTTCTATTGATCCATGATATGTGAGAATGATTGATAAAAAATTAAAAATAAACTGCTTTACTCTACTTTATTTTCTATTGATCCATGATTTGTGACTATGATTGATGAAAAATTAAAAAACAAACAGTTATAAACTACAATTCAAATATCTATCACCAATACAAACTAACTGAATTTCAAATACAGATCAACGGTAATTTGAAAAGTTAGTTAATTGCAAGAAGAAGAAAAAATCCATATGACCGATTCATCCCCCCTCCCCCTCTCTAAGTCTAAGTCACCGCTCGTTTTCTGACATATCAGAGTCTTGGGGAATGACCTAACGCACCCATCGATTGGAAAGTGGCAAAGAGAGCTATCTTACCTCGATGGAATAGCATAATCCATGTATGCAGGTGTATTATATATATGTGTGTGTGTGTGTGTGTGTGTGTGTGTGTGTGAATGTATGTATGTATGTATTTGTGTATATGCACAAAGGGAGTGTCCAAATTGTCTTGCTTCTTCTTTTTTTAAAAAAAAAAAAGAGTCCTGGGGAATGACCTAAGGCACCCATCAATTGGAAAGTGGAAGAGAGAGCTATCTTACCTTGATGGTGAAGATGGGATAGCATAATCCATGTATGCAGGTGTATTTTATATATGTGTGTGTGTGTGTGAATATATGTATGAATGTATGTATGTATTTGTGTATATGCACAAAGGGAGATTTTATCTTCGCCATTATTATTAGAATAGCAGTGTCCAAATTGTCTTGCTTCTTCTTTTTTTAAAAAAAAAAAGGGGCTGCCCTTCTTCCTCTATAAATGTATTCATTTGCATCCTAGACCGGCACATCCACTCCTCCAGCAACACAATCAAGGATTCAGGCTCTCTCTCTCTCTCTCTCTCACACACACACACACACAGATGCAATAGTTGCTTTTTTTCCTTCTACATTATTAATCCACGTTTTCTGTCATTCACATTCGTTTTGATTGTTTCACCTCAATTTCAGAACTACAATTGGAAATGGTAAGAAAAAGAAAGATTGCATATTAAAAGGAGAAAGGTGGTAGGAAGAAGAAAGATAGAAGATTGGAAGGAGGAAGGGTGGATGCCACCATCACCATTCAAGATTGCCTTCATCCAATCAAGCAGGCTGCTGCAATGACCTACGTTAGGCATCAGTGCCAGCAAATCATCAACCAATATGATCCTCAATTCCACTACCTTTTCCAACCATTACAACAACAATCACCGGGTGGTGGTTTCCTAAATCAGTATCCTGTCTCATTCTGGCATTCATTGATTATGTTTTGATGACAAATTGACCAACTGCAACTTCAACAAAGTTGCCTTGGGAGAGACTATGGACAAAGGGTTTGATTTCAAGTGGTAGTGGCGGTGTCAGATGATTTCAATGGTTATGGGGAGAAAAAATGAAGTCAGAAGACTCATAACAATTTGAAGATAGCAGTGCCATCCACGAAGCTTACATGTTGTTGATATTCCCTTACATTGAGTCGAAACTGGAGAGAGAGAGAGAGAGAGAAGTTCATGCAAAGGCTTGGAAAAGCGGGAGAAGTCTCTTAGCACTTGAGTTACAGGGTTACCCTCATTAAAATAGTAATATCATAATGTAAAAAAGCAGGACGACTTTCGTCTATACAAAAATGGGGAGCTTGCTGACCTACTCCAAGGAAGGACGACTTTCATCAATACAAAAATGGGGAGCTTGCTAACCCACTCCAAGGAAGTACAACTTTCATCTATACAAAAATAGGGAGCTTGCTAACCTACTTCAAGGGGAGTAGGTTAGCAAAGCCACAAACACTCATACTAAACTCCAACATTTAGCATTTGCTCCTGCTAAATGCATGACTATTTCATGCCTAGAAGGTAAGCGACAAAGAGGTCGACAAAAACTTACATGGGATGAATTAATAAAAAATGACTTTAAAAAATTAAATCTAAGAGAAGACATGATATATAATACGAAAGAAAGAAAAAAGAGAATACATCTGGCCGACCCCATTAGTATGGTATAAAAGCAAAAATGATGATGATGAAATGCAAGACTATTTCAGGATATGTGTAAGTTTTAAGTATACTTGAGCTGATTCAAAAGCCAACCAGTAATTTTTTTTTTTTTTTGGAAAGTAGCCAACCAGTAATTTTGTTCAGCCATGAAACTTGGTCCAGGCATAAAAAAGAACAAGAAGCTTACCTTATAGCGAATAAGCAATTTTTTTATGCCTCAAGCTTTGTTACATGGACTCTTCAAAAGTAGTGAAGTACCCGTGTCGGACACATATTGCTCGGACATGGGTACGAGACATGTGTCCGACACTTTTGGTTGGCCATGTACCTAAAAAGCGTATGCAATCATTCAATTATATTGTATTATTACTTTAAAATGAGTTAAAAGCCTATATTGAATACTATATTATATAAAAAACATTTCTTTACTCTAGAAAATAAAATAAACTAACTAAATCAAATGAATATTTAGTAGTGTCCACATGTCCTTCGGTTTAGAGATTTGACACGTCCGACGCATGGATACATAACCGTACCCGACACACATACCCAAGTCCATGTAACATAGGCCTCAAGGGTAGAAAATAAGCAATTTTTTATAAGCTTACCTTATTCTTTATGCCTTAATAGTAGAAAATAAGCTATTTCTTTCATGAAAAGGTTGGAGAAATACTTTGGAAAGAAAGGGAAACAAGGTCGCCCTTTTTTATTTTCCTTTTTTATAACTAGCAAAGGGAAAAAAATTCCTAAATGTGTAATTGTATATTTGCAATGAACTTTTTTGGTGATGGAAGTTGAATAGAAAATTAGAAATTTTGATAACCCAATAAATTTTGTACTCACATGATAATCACTTATTAGATGGTCAAACCACATCTATAGAAGAATAAACATGATGCAGATCTCAAAACTGAATACAAGATAAAACTAGACACACATAAACATAAAATGCTCCAGACCTGAGTTATAAAGCTGTGAGCACCATTCAGGCCCTCCTCCTCCCCAGTATTAAATAAAAATATAACTGCATTCTTAAATCCATGAGCCCAGTGAGAAACTCCTCGAGCAAGCTCCAACATAACAGCTACACATGAACTGCAGTCACCAGCTCCTTCCCTAGAACATAGATACAATTTTCAATTATATATATATGAAGACTGAGTCTATAATTTATTATATATTGATGAGGTAAGAGAATAAAGCAAAAATATGATAGGATAGGAGTATATTTGGCCAAATGTTAAATATGTGTGTCAAACAGACCTTGTAATGGGTCATATGGTTGGAGATATAAGTGAAATTTTCAAAGAGTTACCCTTCATTGTAGGAGGTTATTGAAAGGCCAGGGAAACAACTTTCACTAGGGATCTTTGGAAAAATGAAATAAATGGTATGCAACCTCGAAATCACAAGGATATAAGTGGCAATTGATCATGCAATTAACTATATGAATAGAAACTAGTGACAAACTCGTCTAGCCTTGAGTGTGTTATGGATGAATATAGATGGACTTAGCCTGGGATAATCAACCAATTGGCCAATAGTTGGAAAAGACCTGGGCCCTGGTGCCTCAAGAAGCATCAGGTACAATTCCTTTGGTTGGTTTTTTTTTTTTTTTTTTTTTTGGGGGGGGGGGGGGGGGGGGGGGGGGGGGGGGTTGTTGTGTGCCATAAGGAAATAGATGAGACCCTCTTGAAAGAAAAAAAGAAAAAAGAAAAAGAAAACAGAGGAGATTTTACTAGCTATTCCATGTATCTATCTAGAAGAGAAACTAATGTGATGTGGATAGAACTATTTTGAGTTGAGTGAAGGAGAACAAACAAAATAAAGTCACGCTCACCAGCTATCTTGTGATTGTACTTGGTTCATGGATGCAAAGAATAGATTTTTTCCATGCAAAAGCTCACACCAACTTTATTTTCCAATCCAAACATTGTTTTAAAAAGTGTGGGAAAAAAAAATAATGATGAATTGAAAGCTGAGCCTTTGACAAAGATGCGATGACAAGAAGCCAATCTCAAAAATAAAAAATTGACAATGGATGGGAATATAAGAAAGATAGAACATAAATTGTCTAATGTCAAACTTTGAATGAATTGCACAACACTCGTTAGTATTGTAGCATTTTCTCAATTCAATGTGACCAATAGATCTCTATCCATCCTATTTGAGGAGGGAGATCTCACGTCTTTCTAGTGACGTTAAACACTAGTTGTATTGAGTTTCTCATTCGTTGTACGTTAATTTACATTTTATTATTATTTTATTTTATTTTTATTTTATTTTGTTTTGTTTTGTTTTGTTTTTCTTTTTTCCTTTTGGGCATTTATGTATTTTTAAATTCAAAAAGAAAAAAAATAATAATAAATAACAAAATTTTAAAAAAATTGTAATGGGAGATGCTCTCAATCTTCAAAGTAAATGGGATCTACTAAAAGAGCGGATTCCACATTTCTTTGAAGAGCTTGTCCATCAATGAATGGTTTATGCCTTTGACCATTAACTTTGATGGTCCCTTCATCCTTTAGATTTTGAAGTTCAACCGCCCCATGAGGTGAGACGGAGATGATTAGATAAGGGCCTTCCCATTTGGTTCGAAGCTTTCCAGGGAAGAATTTGAGCCTAGAGTTGAATAACCAAGCCTTTTGACCGGCCTCAAGGACTTTTTCACAATATGTTTATCATGAAATGCTTTTGTCCTTGCCTTGTAGATTTTTGAACTATCATAGGCATCATTTTGCAATTCTTCTAGCTCATTGAGTTGTAGCAAACGGTCCTTTCCAGCCTTATCAAGATCAAAGTTGAGCCTTTTTATTGCCCAAAGTGCTTTGTGTTCTAGCTCAACCGGAAGATGACAAGGCTTCCCATAAACAAGTCTATATGGAGACACGCCTATTGGAGTCTTGTAAGCTGTCAGGTAAGCCCACAAAGCATCGTTCAATTTTCTTGACCAATCTTTTCGGGTCGGATTGATAGTTTTCTCAAGAATATGCTTGATTTCCTTATTAGATACCTCGACTTGCCCACTTGTTTGTGGATGGTAGGGAGTGGCCACTTTATGTGTGACAGAGTATTTCAAAAAGAGTTTCTTCAAGAATTGATTGCAGAAATGTTTTCCTCCATCACTTATCATGGCCCTTGGCATACCAAAATGAGCAAAAATATTTGATTTGATGAATGCAATTACCACGGAGTGGTCATTCGTTTTGGTAGCACAAGCCTCAACCCACTTTGACACATAATCAACGGCAACGAGAATGTATTGAAAGCCATAAGACATTGGTAATGGTCCCATAAAATCTATGCCCCATACATAGAAGACTTCAACTACGAAGACTGAAGTTAAAGGCATCATGTCTCTCTTTGACATTGATCCTAACTTTTGGCACCGAACACACACCTTGCAAAAGTTATAGGCATCTCGGTGGATAGTGGGCCAGAAGAGCCCACTTTGAAGAACCTTCAAAGCGGTCTTTTTTCCTCTAAAATGCCTGCCACAAGCAAGTGTGTGACAAAACACAAAGACGCTCGAAACTTCACTTTCCGGCACACATCTCCTTATGATTTGATCTGGGCAATAACGAAACAGAATGGGATCTTCCCAATAGTATTTCCGGATGTTAGCAAAGAATCGGTCCTTTTCTTGTTTTGACCAATTAATGGGAAGTTTGCCGGTTGAAAGAGAATTAACAATGTCAGCGAACCAAGGCAAATTCCCATTTGAGATTTGAAAGAGTTGTTCATCCGGAAATGATTCATGAATTTCAAGATTTGGAGAAGATTCAACCATTAATCTAGACAAATGATCGGCAACGACATTGATTTCAAAGTCAAATTCTTGAAGAAGTAGGATCCATCTTATCAAGCGAGCTTTGGTTTCCTTTTTCATTAGAAGATGCCTAAGAGCGGCATGATCGGAAAACACAATTACCTTTGATCCTAAGAGATATGACCGAAATTTATCAAGGGCATATAATACGGCAAGTAATTCTTTCTCGATGGTAGAATAGTTCAATTGGGCACCTGAGAAAGTCTTACTCGCATAGTATATAGTGAAAGTTGATGTGCTTCAGTCATAGCCTAACTACAAAAAGGTCATAAAAATAAAATAATTTACACAAGGAGATATTATCCTTGTCAGAGTTAGCCGATTTACTAAAAGAGAAGAGTACTTCCCAACCAATAATGGGGCTCTTTCATGAGAGTCATGCCAGTATGACTTCCTGCTTTATAATTTGGTTAAACTTAACAGCGGGCAAGTGGCCTAGCAGTACCAGGCCCCTACTTCCCAAAAGGGACGTCAGGGGTTTGAGCCTCTGTGGAGACATGGGTGTGTGAGTACCAACTAAAAAAAATTGGTTAAACTTGGTTTTTAGTGCATTCAAAAGCTAAAATTCCTTTTGTACTTTTGTCGAAAGGTTCTTTCTTTACTTCTTTCCGATGATAAGGTCTCCTCCTCACTTGTATCACTCCTCAATATATATATATTTCAATTGCATTCAAAAAGTGATAGGGTCTGAAATTTTTTTCTAGGCTTTAATTATCACACAAAACAAAAACAAAAGCATAATATTAGAGAATTTTGGTGAAGATAGAGCAGATAAAATGGGGAAGGGGGCAGTGAAATCAATACGCATCTAACTAAGAAGCACAAATACTTCTACTATGTGAGACACTTGTTGGACACCGAAATTTCCCGGACACTACTAGGCGTGTGTGACACCTCATGTGCGAGTTTATAATTTCAAAATAAATAATTATTTTGATACTTGGTCAACACAACTTAGGCACTTAATACATGACTTATTAGCACAAACATATCCTAAAAAGAGCCATGTTTGACAATCATGAAACAAGATAAACCTAACTTGAAATATCAAACCTTTTTTTAGAAAATCTGACATTGCACACATGGCTAGCACGGGTCTAGCATGCAATGGACAATTTTATTATAGGATAAAAATATAACCATAATGAAAAATTATAGTAGAAGAGTAGCAGTGATATATTTAATATAATAATTTCTATGATATTTGTTTAGTGTCAACTTATATACTATTGAATTCTTTTATTTGACTTAAAAAATCTAAGTTACAGAGCTCTCGTATATATGCGAACAATCAAAAGTAAAAGGACTTAGGTAGAAGTTCTAGCACGATAACAGAACATCGTGACTTTAGAAATCTTTCCTGTCCACATTTCATGCTTGGTCATTTTTGTGTGATGAAAGATTCTTGGGCTGTATAAATTGATGGTCAAAAAAGAGGCTTCAGTTGCTGATTATATGTCTTCCTTAGAGAGTGGAGCAGTGTTGTGATCCAGGGATTTGTAAGGCAACTGAAGTTCATGAAGTGGAATCAGTGGCATCCATTCTTTAAGTAATACTCACTGTGGCTGTAAACAAGGAAGTGGAAGACTCCATTATAGGTGGAAAGGAGATCGGAAAGGGAGATTCAAAATAGATCCTACTATAGGATCTTAATTGGAGGAAATGAGGTCGCCTTTCCTTGGAAAGATATTTCATGTACTACAGCTCCTTTGAAGGCAGGATTTCTTCATGGAGGAGGTGGAGAAGGAAGCCATTCTAACAATTAATAGTTTGAGGAAAAGAAAGTAGATCATCATGTGATAGTACTTTGCATGCAAAGGAGAGGGAAGAGTCTCAACCATCTCCTCCTCCATTGTGAGTCTTGTGACTTTACTAGGGATGTATAGTGTCTTCTATTCTCCTTGCTCAGGTTTCTTGGGTGATGCTGGGAAGGCGTGGACATGATGGCTAGAAGAGGATCCTGTGTCTGTGGGAGTGAGGAAGGCTTTATCTGTGGCTCTCTTATGCCTTGTGTGGAGCATTTTGAAGAGAGCAGAATTAGATACCACTTAAAGTGGTAAATCCAGAACCCCAAAGGTAAGAATTTGCTTTGCTTTACCTTTTTTTTTCCCCCATTTTTTGGTCTTAATGAGGCAGTTCATATGTTTATATTTATTTTTGCAGACTTCCTGGGAAATTTGTATATTGCCTTCTGGTCACATACCTCCTGTATGCGTGTGTTGAACCCAACACTTACTCTTACTAAATTGTGTAATAAAAAATTAATAATAATAACAAATATCATGAAAGACAAAAAAAGACTACAGCTGAAAACAAGAAAATAATATCTAAACCTAACAAATTTACATCGAAGTCAGCTTTTGACCTGTAGATTTTCACATTATACACAAGTAGAATGCTCAAACCCAAATCATTATATTAAAAGGAAGCCCTAAACTGGTTATTTATGTTAAACAATATAGCAAGTTAAAATGATTTGTCTTATATCAATCATCTTTCGAAAAAAACAAAAAACAAAATTACATCTTCAGACATTGACTCATTGCATGATATCATCGAGAAATCAGTGCAGTGCATGTCTACATGTCTGGGAAGGGCATCCAAACAGTGTTCAAATAATTGACTGGTTATAATTAATCACCAAGCAGGGCCAGCTTGATACAATTGGAGGTCTAAGAGAAAATTTTAAGCGAGACCTCCAAGACCACAACATCCATTATCACATTTACCACCACCTTTATTATTATTATTATTATTATATATTTGGGTAAGTTCACCTTTGCCACCAAACCAACGTTACAAAACATGTGCCAGATTACCATTTTTTATATGAAACGAGTATTATTACTTAAAAAGATAGAAGGATACAAATGCTTAGGAGGATTCTCAACCCAAACAAAGAAAGAAAAAAAAAAAAAAGGATTCTCAACCCAATAGAATAAAAAATAAAAAATAAATAACAAAACAAAATAAAAATAAAATAAACTACAAGTCCCAACCTCAAAAACAACTTCTATCAGACACTAATTAAGAGATCAAATACGCTTGAACACCCATTCCATTTCTCTTTCCTTCATTATGACATAAATCAGGATTTGATATATTGCAATTTTTTTTTTTCAAAACTGAAAATCCATAAATGAATCATTATTAGTTTTTCTTCTTCTTCTTCCTTTTTTTTTTTTTTTGATAAGTCACATAATATCCAATATACATAAATAAATCTTAAATCATAATTCTCAATATTGTCTGATTACTCTCATCCATCTTAGATATGACACTGGTAGTCATCCCTTAGCTTCTCATTAGTCATTACAAAACCTGAGCAGGAGATGTTTGCAATAAAAACCACTCAACAAATATGAACAAAACAATACTAGTGGTGATCATCACTTCTAGGAATACCATCAATAGAACAAAGACAGCAGAAAAATAAAAAGAAATTTGCAACGATGAGTACGAAGAAGAAGAAAGCATACGTTGAGAAAACGGTATCGATGTGGGAGGAGACCAGAATAGCATTTTCTCCAGCTTCAGATGCATATTTTGGGGAGATTCTTAATACAATATGCTTCAGATCCGAATAAACAAGGGTTCTCCCCTGGAAAAGCCCACTGACAAGACGATTTGCACCAGATTGTGCATGGAAAAAGTCCACTTCAACATCAACCTCCCAGTGAGCCATCTTCTTAATACTTTCTGATACTTCCAAAACATACTGCAGTGAAAAGGACGTTAGAGAATTATGGACGTAATAATTTCCCATGAAAGAGATTGCCTAATGGCCACCCAAAGCTAAGAACAACTTTAATGAACACATTGCAAATAAATGGATATAAATATGAAACAGATTCACAATGCATGAAATCAAACATAAATATATCATATCTGAAAGCATGCAAAATATAGATATATTCCAGTTGCCATGGCAAAAATAATAATAATAATAAATAAATAAATATAAATTGACGTTTTCAGCATTAAAACACGCACACGCACACACATGCATGCTGAGCAATATACCAGAGAATAAACTGGGCAAGTCATGGTTTGAAGAACCAAAGAGACTTAAACAAACAAATATATATATATATATATATACACAAACTTCAAACATTGTAGGCAAGTATGCCTCTGAATGAACCCTGATCATTCCCCACATTCTCCCCTTATCTGATTATCATGGTATCAAATATTAATTGGTATGCATGCACCTATATTTATATGACTCTCTGTAAAAGAGACTAACAAACTTTCACGTGGACACTGGATAGACAACTATGTATACACATTGATTTTAACATGTGGAATCATACTAGTTTAATTGAACATAATGTATGAACTAACAAGTAAGACGTAGGCTGCTTAATTTAATGGAAGGTGCAAGAATGTAAATTGGATAACATATGCACATAAAAGGAGCACAGTGTCTCATATTTAGAGGCGCATATCAAGACGCAAGATGCATAACTGTTTATTGAATAGACCAACCTGCACAGCAGCATCCAGAGCATCAGAACCAACAGGATGCGGACCCAATTCAGTTAAGGCCTTGACATGCTTCATGGCTGCTTCCTCGGAGAAACCCCTCTTACCTGCCTGGCCAGCCGTAAGAGGCATTGGCAAACTCTCGTTCTGATAATGATGAACTGCCCAAGACCCATTTATAATCATAACAAACAGAGCCAGTATCACAAATGCTGACCTCTTTGGGCCCTCTACGCTATCATTAGTTTGGTCTCCATTACCAACACCGGGCACATCACTCGATTCATTACTCCCCGACGGGTTTGATGTTGCCAGAGAACTTACAGGCCTCCGTCTCATCTCATACAAGAAATAATCAAGCAAGCACCTGGTTTAGATAATTGACTTGAATATATTAGAATCATCATATAGCAACTAGGTGATATCATCTTGAATTTAGGAAGGCGTGTCATTCTCAAACTTGACATAATACAGTCTAACTATCAGTTAAATACTAAATTATCTCCATTTGGTTTCTTAGAAAACGCAAGTAAAGAAAATTAAATTTGTTCTCAAAATTCTCTTTAATTTTAGTGCTAAAATAATTGAAAGAGTCGTATAAATAAAGCCTTAGTGTTGTATTACATATGGTTGAGTCAAAATGATCTGCATAATTCTCAGGTTCCCATCAATGCAAAATCTACAGTTGAATACTCAAACAACTTAGTTCTCACAGCTAAACGGAGCATAAAACCAATCACAGTAGATTTTAATCCCAAACCAATCCATAAAATTTAGATATGTAACTATTACAGTAAATTTAGATGGAGAACAATAATAGAATTCAAATAAAGAGCATAGATAAATACTATATGTATAACCTTAATATATTAGAATTATCATAGAGCAACTAGGTCATATCATCTTGAATTTAGATAAACATGTCATTCTCAAACGTGACATAATACTATCTAATTATCAATTCAAGACTAAATTCTCTCCATTTAATTTCTGGAAAAAAAAAAAAAAAAAAAAAAAAGAAGAAGAAGAAAAAGCAAGAAAATTAAATTAAATTTGATTTCAAAATATCTTTTAATTTTGGTTCTGAAATAATTGAACAAAATGGTATAAATAAAGCCCTAGTGTGTTGTATTACATAAGGTTGAGTCAAAATGATGTGCATAATTCTCAGGTTCCCAAGAATTAAAAACAAACTGAGCATAAAAATCAATCACAGTCACAGTAGGTTTTAATCCCAAAGCAATCCAGATACTATGCAAATGTTAAGGTAAATTTAGATAGAGAACGGTAATAGAATTCAAATAAAGAAAGATAGATACTATATATATATATATATATATAGAGAGAGAGAGAGAGAGAGAGAGAGAGGGAGAGAGAGAACCTTAATGGAGTTTTTGTTGTTAGCGTCAGTGTGACGGGTTTAAGATCGGGGATATGAGTGTGAGAGAAGAAAGGAATGGGTTTGTGTGTACTCTGAGTCCGGTAGTTGAATTACTAGTAATCGTGTTCGTCGTTCACTGAGAAAGAGCAGAAGGTAAGCAAGTTTGACCTATGCAGTGATTCTTAGAGCATCCGCGTCGGCTATTTTGCTTTACGTGGCAATCTTCTTATAATTTATTTATTAAAAAAATATATGAATTATATTTTTTTAATAAAATTAATTTTCATTTTTCAACGGCTATATTATTATTATTATTTTTTTTTTTTTTTTGAGAAACTTAAAAAGAATAATATTTAATGAAATATGATATTACATATATAAATAAATAAATAAACAAAATACATATTTTTCTACAAATAGAGAAAAAAATACATTTATACCTTTCACATTTAAATAAAATATTAGACATTATATATAATCGCCCCCATATGACATAATTGCATTTTGTTGGCACTCTATGCGTGCTTTTGCCCCCGGTGATGAAGGTTCATTTGGATTTAAAGAAAATAAATTAGACATATTATACATATTTTTAACAAATAAGTAAATATAGTAATTTATTTAAGTGAATTGGATGTGGTATTTATCAAATAAAAAATAAAAATAAAAATTGTAAAAAGCCAAAGAGTACTGCTGTTTAAAAAAAAAATTAATAAATTTATTTTGCCCAGAATAATTATTATGCAAAAATATTAATAAAATTACTATGTAATGGTTGTCTTAATATATATATACACAGAGTAATGCTATTGCGAGAGTGTTCTTGCAAAAAGTGTAAAGGGTTCCCGCCTATAAAGCACACGATTCTTTTTTAAGGATTTGGAAAAAAAAATTAATTAAGAAAGAATCATTTGTAATAAGGAAACAAATAATCTTTTTTTTCTCTTATCATCTCTCCACATTCTCTCTGTCTCTTTTAGTTAATACCCTTAACCAATCTGTCTCTTTCTCTCTCTTGCCACCCTTCCTTGAAGAGTAACCCCAAATCTTGCTCATGATATTATGTAAGCCATTATTGTTAATAGCATTTCTTAGATAGTAATTTCTCGACAATTAGAACACCATCCCTCCCGTCATATCAACTTCTTCTTCATCAACCGATAATGGAAATGACTCAATTTGTTTGAGGATCTTTTAATTAATAGATTAAAAAAAATCAAACTTTTAAGAAAACAAAGCTTCACCTATCTTCGGTAACCGAATTGATGGCATAGAGAGAGAAACAAGGATTGAGAGCAGGTGGATAAACTATTTGACAGAAAGACAAAAATTTAACTATGTGAGAGAAAGAGACATTATTTGAGGGCCAAGAGAGAAAAAGAGATAAATTGGTTGAGGGTGTTAATTAAGAGAGAAAGATAGAACCATTAGAGAAGAGAGAGAAAAAAATAATTATTTATCTTCTTATCACAAATAATTCTTTATTGATTAATTATCTCTTCGAAATTCCTGAAAAAGGAATCGTATGACGGGAGTTGTTTAGATTTTTACAAATTCGTTCTTACAATAACATTATTTATATATGTATATATATATATATATATATGAAAAAGCCAATTCAGTACTTGGGCCCACCAACAAAATCTTTTCCCCTCCACTTGGTTCCCATCAAATAGAGATCCCCACGAGAAGCACTTTCTATCTCCAAATAATGGAGGCCTATCCAAAATCCACGTAGGACACATACAAGTTTCGAGATTGTACTTTTGTGTGATTCTAACAGATCAAAATTGTGTCAATTTGTAATTGATCAGAACCATTTAAATTTGTTTTATGTGTCAATTTGTAATCGATCGAAATTATATAATAATTTTTGCACATCTCCACTTATGACAGAGTACAAATCCTTTCGTGGGATGATCTATTTGTCATTCTTTTTACTTTTAAGAATAAATTTTAAGCTTTTTTAAATTTCAAAGAAAAATTTCGGTAATTACAATGAAACTGAATGTTATATACTATTTATATGAATAAAAAATGACATTATTATAATCACGTAATTCTTACTCATAATACAGTGGAATACTCCTTTTAGTTGACCCGATTGCATTTATATAGGTAAAGATATAATATCATTATGACCTCCAATAATGAGTGTCACAATTATATGGATATTCTCACAAACCGCCTTCTCTTTCGGCTAAAGATATTTCACCATAATGCATTTAAAGACTTGGGTATGTATGTTACTTTGCATCCTTATTAAACGTTCCCATGGCAAATTGCTAAATCGAGCAGACTAAAGTTTGGACCATAAATAATGGTTTAAATAATACAACTCATCAATCAGTGAAAATATCCTAATATATATGAAATGTAATTTAAAGACGAAATCAATGTTAAAAGCCTTGGTATTAAAAAGTAAAATAGCTATATATATATATATATATAGTATCAAAATTCAGATACTATGCAACTGTTAAGGTAAATTTAGATAGAGAACGGTTAGGATCCGTTTGGTTAGACAGAAATGTATGATGGAAAGTGAAAATGAAGTGAAAGAAAAGAAAATTAAGTTTCCTGCATACATTTGGTTAGTAGGAAAAATTTTCAGGAAAGTTGTGGAAAAATATTATTTTACTAGTTTAGATACCATAAAAAAGAAAAGAAAATGATTTAATTACCAAAACTACCCTCATGATTTCAAATACTTAAAAATAAATTAATTTTGTGTTAAATGAATCATCTTTATACCTAATTATTTATATTATTTTTTAACAAATAAATAGTAAAATGATGGATTATTAATAATTATTATTATTATTTATTTTCATATTTAAATTAGAACAAACTAAGGAGGACTCGATTTTAGTTATCAAATTCTTTTTATTTTGTGTTTTAAATAATAATTATTTATATTCATATGTAGAATGTAGTTCATTTATCATAACATATTGTATTTTTATTGAAATATTAAATATAATATTTTTTGCAAGCCCCTCGAAAAAACACTAAATGACAGTGCTCTAAGATTAAATTGGTCATGCAAAAGTAACATTTTATAGTTGATGCATAATAATTTTTTGGTTCATGCATAATTTATCGATTCACTTCCATATTTTATAACTATGAACCATGCAAATTTTTTTATACAAAAATCACATATTATTCGAGTATAAAACTCTATTAAGTTTCAAAACTGTATAGATAATAAAAAAATAAATATTATTTTGATTTCTATCCATATGACTCTAATTCATGTCTTCTCATATATTTATTGAGATATTGGTAAAAATTAAAAGTAATATAATTCTACCATTCAATTCTTAATTTATTTTTTAAAAATTTAGGTAACGACGGTATTAGATATGATGAATCCAAATATGTGTCATAGTAAATAGATGGCATAACTTAATAACCTCTTTGAAAAAAATTGGAGAAACAATTCAATTGGGGCATAATAGGAAATTTAGAAATTAAATGACAGTTTCAAGCGAGAAAATAAACTTTCTTGTAGTTTATGCGGGGAAATATTTTGGGAAAATTTATCCGATACGGGAATCCACTTTCCCCAAAATTTTCTCTTTCTAGGTAACCAAGTCCCAAAAAATTAAAAAAATATTCCGTTTGTTTTCCTTTCTATCTATTTCACGCTAACCAAACAAATCGTAAAAGAATTCAAATAAAGAAAGATAGATATATATTATACAGATACATATTTATATATATAGATAGAGAGAGAAGTTTGTTGTTGTTAGGGTTAGTGTGACGGGCTTGAGATCGGGGATATGAGTGTGAGAGTGCGGAGAAGAAAGGAATGGGTTTGTGGGTACTTGAGTCCGGTAGTTGAATTACTAGCAATCGTGTTGGTTGTTCACTGAGAAAGAGAAGGTAAGCAAGTTTGACCTATGCAGTGTTTCTCAGAGCATCTGCATCGGCAATTTTGCTTTACGTGGCAATCTCCTGTATTTTTAGAGACTTTTTCACTTTATTATATTTGACAAAAAAAAAAAAAACTTTATTATTTTTAAATTTTAATAAAATTAATTTTTCATTTTTCAACGGCTATATTATATATATATATATATATTTTTAAGAAACTTAAAAAGAATAATATTTAAAAAAAAAATGATATTACATATCTAAATTAAAAAACACAATACATATATATTGATGGCACCCTATGCGTCCGTTTGCCGGTGATGAAGCTTCATTTGGATTTAAAGAAAATAAATAAGATACATTATACATATTTTTAACAAATAAGTAAATATAATAAAATGATGTCATATACATTATGAGTAATTTAATTAAGTGAATTGAATGTGGTAATTAAAAAAAAATGTAAAAAATTAAATTATTTTGCACAGAATAATTATTATGCAAAAATATTAATTAAATTACTATGCAGTGGTTGTCTTAATATATATATATATATATATATATATATATATATATATATATATATATATATATATTACATGTAAAGAGCCAATTCATTACTTGGGCCCACCAACAAAATATTTTCCCCTCTACTTGGATCCCATCAAATAGAGATCCCCACAAGAAGAAAACTTTCTATCTCTCCAACTAATGGGGCCTATCCAAAATCCAAAGCGTTGTGGATGCTCTTAGGATACAAACAATTCATAACCTAGGCAGGTTATATATATTTGGGACTTTGACCCTTTCACGCTCCTGAGAGGGTTCTCTATTCTTAACTTTCGAGAATGTTAGTCTATTGCCAGTCCAATTTTTAAGAAATTTTTGTATGATTCCGGCAAACACAAACGTTCTATTTAAGAATTAAAAAAAGTCTCATTCATTTTTATAATACGTAAATATAAGAAAACGGAGCAATCATATATAGACAAGAAAATAATTGAATTTATTTTATCACAATTTGAGCTTGGTATCTCTATATATATATATACTACGTATTTGTTACCACCATGATTGAGACTGCTTATCAATAAATGGATTGATTTAAAAACATTTTGTCACTGTGCTCGACAAATTATTTAGAGTTTTATGTTATGACTTAGAGATAATTAGATACATTTCATTTTTTGAATTACTTGTCATTATTTGTTTTTTAAGGAGAAAATTTTAATTTTGGATACTCTTTAGTGCAACACTCTACCAGTTGAGTATGGAGACACCTTGTTAATCCACTAGTATCAATATTGATTAGGTGGGAGTCTATGATACATTGGGAACCATATTCCTTGATCTCCCAATAGTTGGATGTGATGATGAATTTTTTTTTTTTAATTAATTGGAGCTTAAATCTTATATTACTTTTAACTTTTACAAACAAGGGCTCACGATTCCTAACAATTTACTTATCAAATTGATTTTCCAGATGTTTTGGAATTGGTGATGATTTGGAATTCGATTTTTATTTATTTATTAACATAATTTTAAATGGTTATAAAATTTCCCACCATTTAATTTAATTCCTTCTATATATCCCTAAGTATAATGGTAAATTATATAAAAATAATAAAGTGTGAATTTCTCCAGTTTACTATTACGAATTTACTTGTACTTTATCTAGCCTCACATCCCCAAAGAAAGGATCAAGAAAATTCAAGAACGTTCAATATGGAAGAGTTTACAGTCTGTTACTTCATTTCAATACCTTCCCAAAACCCAGTCACCAAAAATATCGTATTCAACTCTCTCGCCTATTTATTGGCCGGCTGCCGACAAAGCAACATTTCTGCTCTCCAGTTAATTGGTTATAATTTATCACCCTTCAGTTTCCTCCATCAGTTTCCTCCAATACATCAGTTTTACATCAGTAATATTAGTGCAAATAATTTCACAAATATTACTTCTAGTTTTACTTTATTTCTTTAATCCTAAGCTTCATACAAATAATATGTTGTGCATAAGAAAATAATTGTGACTGCGTTCATGAAAAATATGCTCCTTTCACCACCATGGTTTTTTTTATAAATTTATTTATTAAATAAAATTAACGCTCATGGTAAATGGCTTGGACCAATAAAGTAGCTACAGCGGATATATATATATATATATATATATATATATTTCCACTTAGTGTCACAATTTTATGGATATTCTCACAAACCGCATTTTCTTTCCGCTAAAGATATTTCACCATAATGCATTTAAAGACGGTTGTATGTTACTTTGCATCCTTATTATACAAGCACCACTAAAGTTTGGAATAGAGAGATAATTCACATGGCAAATTGCTAAATCGAGCAGCACTAAAGTTTTGACCTTAAATAATATAACTCATCAATCCCTGAAAGTATCCTAATATATATGAAATGTAATCTAGAGACGAAATCGATGTTAAAAGCCTTGGTATTAAAAAGCCAATTCAGTACTTGGGCCCACCAACAAAATCTTTTCTCCTCTACTTGGATCCCATCAAATAGAGATCCCCACAAGAAGAAAAAGTTATCTCCAAATAATGGGGACTATGCAAAATCCAAAGCGTTGTGAATGCTCTTAGGATGCATACAATTCATAACCTAGGCAGCTTATATATATTTGGGACTTTGATCCCTTCATGCTTCTGAAAGGGTTCTCTACTCCAACTCTGGAGATTGTTAGTGAGTCTATTGCCAGTCCAACTTTTAAGAAATTTTTGTATGATTCCGGCCCAACACAAACGTTCTGTTTAAGAATAAAAAAAAGTCTCATTCAATTTTATAATACGTAAATACAAGGAAACCGAGCAATCATATATAGATAAGAAAATAATTGAATTTATTTTATCCCCATTTGAGCTAAATGGATTGATTTAAAAACATTTTGTCATTGTACTAGACAATTATTTAGAGTTTTATGTTATGACTTGGAGATAATTAGATACATTTCATTTTTTGAACTACTTATCATTATTTGTTTTTTAAGGAGAAAATTTTAATTTTGGATACTCTTTAGTGCAACACTCTACCAATTGAGTATGGAGACACCTTGTTAATCCACTTGTATCCATGTTGATTAGGTGAAAGTCTACAATATCTTCGGAACCATATCCCTTGATCCCCAGTGGTTGGATGTGATGATGAAACCTACTTGATTTTTTTTTTTTTTAATTAATTGGAGCTTAAATCTTATATTACTTCTAACTTTTGCAAACAAGGGCTTATTAGACACGATTCCTAACAATTTACTCATCAAATTGATTTTGGAGACACGATTCCTAACAATTTACTTATCAAATTGATTTTGGAGATGTTTTGGAATTGGTGATGATTTGGAATTCTATTTGTTTTTATTTATTAACATCGTTCAACATGTCTGTTACTCCATTTCAATACCTTCCCAAAACCCAGTCAACAAAAATATCGTATTCAACCCTCTCGCCGCTCGCCGATTTGTCACCGTTCAGTTTACTCCCATACATCAGTTATACATAAGTAATATTTGTGCAAATAATTTCACAAATATTACTTCTAGTTTTCCTTTATTTCCTTAATCCATCCACAAAGTCACATAATCCATCAACAAAGTCACATGCTACCTTATTATATTACTAAGCTTCATACAAATAACATGTTGTGCATAAGAAAATAATTGTGACTGCGTTCATGAAAAATATGCACCACCATGGTTTTATTTATTTATTAAATAACATTAACGCTCATGGTAAATAGCTTGGACCAATACAGTAGCTATAGCGGATATATATATTTTTTTCGATCTGGCGCGTGAGATGACAAGGATTGAAACTTGTAGTAAGATTAAAATTTGGCAATTGGCATATTAATTGTTCTTATTGCAAAAATGGAAATGGTCGCTGAAAGTATATATATATATATATATATTTTCTATCAGTTAAAAGGATTCTTGAAAGAAGAAAGCTCTATTCTCAAAAGCCAAATCTTTGAAAATAAAATGAAAAGATTAATAAAGAATCATATATTTGATTCAAAAGGCTCAAGCTTTGAAGATAAATATTCTAAAGCGTCTGAAATTGAATCAAATAAGATTAATAAATTTGTGAAGAATAAGGTGAAAAATCAGAGCCACCGACAAGCAATAATCTGAGAATAGAACTTCACAAGTCCTAAAAAATAAAAATAAAAATAAAAATAAAAAAAAGTAGCAAAGCCACCAACTCAAGAAAAGAAAAGAAAAGAAAAACAAAAGGGCTTCACAAACAATAGAAAAGAAGAAACAAAAGATGATGGCTATTATAAAAGTAAGCCATATCTCTACAACAATACAAGGAACAACATTGCAGACAGAAGCAAGAATGAAAGTGATGCCTCCACTTCTTCCAAGCAGAATTCCATAGAAATAAGTTGCATGTTGCATTACAACCATGCACCAAAATCCAAGACAGAACACCAGAATGCAAGGGAATAGACCTAAGCCCCAAACCCAATTTAATCAATATTCATGTATTCCACAGCCCCTCGTAAGCTAAATGAAAGACATCAAAGAAGGTAAAAGCTTCCACTACTTTATGCAAGAAAAAAGTTACAGAATTCTATAGCAAGTCTGCTCTAAATGGAACGAACTTGTTGAGATATATTAAGTCTCTTCGTAGCACTGTCGAAAAAAGTGAATTATAGTTCCCTTGGCTGCTTCTGCCTCCATACTAGGACTCCTCATACAACATAATTGGATTACCCACAAGTGGAAGTCCATTTCACTATAATATTATGTTTTGGTAAAAACTAGAGCAGTGTCTATTCTTGGACTCTTGTCCTAAAAATTTGATTTACATGATACAGTAATTAGAAAGAAATTACATCGGCAAATACAATAGCAGAATACCTGGCAAAACTAGGAAACCATTTGCCCAAGGCATGGGTTTAGTGTGAGCAATTCTGCTGGTGGTGTCAAACCCAATGGGAGGAGATAATCGGGAAGTAATCGTGGTTTTCAATTCATTCATTCATTTTTATCCGTCTGTATTATGTATACCGTCCAATTGCTGTTGGTACTCTTTTCTGGAAACCAACATGAAGTCCTAATGTGTACCAACAAGTTGGACAGGCAATTTCCTGTGGTGCATAGTGCCAAGAAATTAAAGACAACTTAGGCTTAATGTGACGCCATGTTGCTCTTCATAACCGAAAAAAGAAAACGATTGAACAATGCTAAAACCTACAGAAAGCTCATAGGATGACGGAAGCAGGTACAAAACCTTGATAAATGCTCTTGCAATTCAAGAACTGCACTGTTTGACGTCAAGTCTTTAGCTCTTCCAAGCCCTGAATCACCTCAGATTCCAGCTTCTTGTCCTGAACTGCATTCTCTGCTTTATCCGTTTGTGCTGATGAGTTGGCCAGTGGGATGGTAGAAACCATAGAAGCACGAGGTTCCTCTAGTCGAACTGGTGGAGCACCATAAACCGGCTCAGCCTGCCGTATGCAGACAGGTGGGGCAACACCCAGAGGCCGAGGCAGCAATTGTGGACTAGGTGGAGGAACTGGCCTCGCAGAGAAAACAGGTATTGCATTTCTTATGGTCACTGGCGGTGCAATTCCATAATGTGCCCTAAAATGTCGGACAGGAATATAGGGTGCTGCTCCAGCTGCAGGGAATTTCTGAGGTCGGACCTTAGGGCTTTTGGGTGATGGTAGGGAGCTCTCATTCACCGATGTGATTAGGGATTGACTTTGAGGAGCTATATTTGGGCATATGGGTCTATCATTTATTGTTGTCATCGAGGGTCTGTTTTTAGAAGCTGTCTTTGGGCAAATTGGGCTGTGGTTTACAGGCGTGGCAGCAGGTCTGCTCCAAGGAGCTGCCTTTGAGCATATTAAGGGAAGGATTTTTGATGCAATTACAGGAGGTGGATGTGAAATTGGTGGTCTCGGATTCGGTATTGGAAACTTAAATGGGAATGACAAATTAGAAATCTTTGCCTTCATAAGAAAATTCTGCAGAGCGCGTGCTACAGTAACATGCTCCTGCTCATCATTATTTGCTTTTTCTGATGATGAATTCTCAGAATGTTGAGATACTGGACAAACAGAAGAAACATATTAGGCACTTATAGATGAACACACTGGTTAATCCAAAGGCAATAGAATGGTGTCAATTGTCTTTGTCCATATGGTGTGTTAGAGGATCTGATCAAGATGGGTTAATCAGAAGGCCAATTTATTTTATCAAACCAAGGCAAGAAAGTATAGTTAAACTACACAAGGGTGGAGGGACTGCAAGAACATTGTTTGCAAAAACTCAATCGTGATTGGGTTTTAATCGGTGTAGTTGGCCAACAGATTATACTTTTACGGTACACGTAAGGTAATGAGGAAAACTTTTGGATGGTAGAAACAAGGTTGATTAAAAGATCTGTGAGGGAAATTGATCCCATACAAATTTGGAAAACAATAATAAGATTTGGACAATCATACTTTCAACAAATAATTCTTTTTAAGATGCAAAGAAAAACTGGTTTGGATTTGTTTCGAGAACTATATGGTTGGCATGATTGTGGTAGTGATATATCAATGCATTCTTTTTAGAAGAATTTTAGAGTGTCAACTTTAACAACATGTTACAGGGGGCCACGATATCTCAATGCACCATAGTAGCGCCACGTTTCATCAAAATTAATAGTCTGGCAGACATAAAAATTGCCTTGTACGCAAAACAGCAAATTTCCAGAGGTATGGGAGAATGCAACATGTATCATGTATCTACAAACATGCATGTACAAAAAGGTTCCATCAACCATGAAAGCTGGACCAACATGTTTTGGATAGGCATAAACTCAAGAGTCCATTGATCAACCAATGTCCAATATTAGTGTGTAAAAGAAAAAAAATTACATTTTTCCATAGAAAATGTAAGAGATTATGCACACTGAATAGAGTAAAAAATGTCAACTATAGTCACTCTTAATGTGGAAACTGTAGCCAGTTCATCATGCATGTGTAAGCAGATTTATCAAGAACAATACACTAACTTATAAATTATGCACATAAAACAATTTAAGATAATTCTCATAAAAGATTCAAGAATATATTTCTGAAATTCTAAATAATTTAGAATAACAATGCATGCTTCTTTATATTTAAATGCATCACTTATTCTTCTAGTCTACTCTCATCTGCCATGTTCTGCCAATATTTTCACAATAATTTTCTAAATAATATCCAAATTCAGGATTTGGCATCACACTCCAATGTTTGAAAGAATGGTATTGACTGTTCCTCCTCCATAAGAAGGACCAATTCCTTCACAAGCTTGTTTGTGATACAATTTTTCATATTAATACCAATAATTGCCCAACAAAAATGAAATTTGAATGACTTACATAGTTTCAGAGATGACCAAGCTGCCATGGCTGCATTCTTTTCAGCTTGTTTCTTGTTCTTGGCTGGTTCACCGGTAAATGTGATGCCAGCCAACTGTACAGTGCAGGTGAAGACAGGTAGGTGCCCAAGGCCTGATCGGAAAGTTGTGTATGTGGGCAAAGATGCTCCTACTCTTTGTGAAACCTCCTGCAGGAGATTCTTGTAGACCCCTGTCTCATCCTGTCAATTGCAAAGGTTAGCTGGACTAATGACAGCTCACTAACAGGGTCGCAGTGAGATTGGTGAATCAAACATATTGAGGAATCAAGTTAAATGTCTAAATGATGGTGTAGAGTAATTTAGTGCCACCTACGATTTGCAGAAACTAACAAGACTCCCATGCTATACTTAATTTTTTAGTATCAAGCATGACAATTCCACATGATATAGACATAGGCACCAAGTGCATACAATAGGAGGATACGGTTTGTGAATCAAATATAGATACATGACATATACAAGCATGTGTTTATTATTATTTTGTTTTCTAAAAGACACAGTTTACTTCATTTTTAATTCAAAATAGAATAAAATTGATATGCTACTACAATATATGCTATTGAGCATCTGAGCATCGTACAACAAAATCCTGAAACAATTTAGCTTCATACAAAAGTCTCTACTGATTTTGGAAAATTCAGATTGTCCAACTAAACTATAGGAAGCCCAAGAAACTGAGAAAGCAATCTTAGTCCGTGCCTCATGCAACGGATCTGACACAAACCTTCTTCACTGTCGTTTATTAAATTTGGCCTCTGGCTTCCGGTAACAGGTTGATAACCATTTGTTTACCTTTCTTCTCAATTATACACATAAATTAAATTGCTTAACCTTTACTTTCCAAATTAAAAGGCTTGGATTGCCTTGCTGTAAAGGAGCTGATATTAGAATCACATAGAGTGGGCAGAATGTCAAACCATCTCAAAAGGAAGGGGAAAAAAATGGAATGCAGAGGGAAAAAGATGATAGAATCTAAAGGAGTAGGCAGAACAAACCTTGTTGCTGCAAATTGAGGTAGCTTGAAAAATTAAAAGAGTTAATGAGAGTACTGAAATCTATTTATGGGTAGTTTTTCTAAAACCAGATGTGCTATTTGAAAGGGAAAGGAGGGATCGGAAATAGTTAAACCTTTATAATTTCGAGAAAGCAGACAATCAAAGGTAAAGTGAAAAAGAAGAATGTGATATGTGCGACTTATAAAAAAAAAAATTAAGAAAAAAAAAAAAGGGACGTGATTTGTGCCTTAGAGCATTTTGCTTCTACCTCAAATGGCATCTCTTATTGGTGCTTAAAAAAATAATTTATTCCAATTCGACCTTTGTCAGTACTATTCTTGAGATCAAATTAGGTCATATGACAGTTACCAGGATCTACCAGTGGTTTCTGTTTGATTTAATGAGGTACAATGACTTAAAGTTATATCCACTCAAAATAAGAAGAACACTCCACAGGGGTTGGCTTTTCCCCTACCAATGATGTGCCAAGAAGTGCATTATTGGAACTGGGTTGGAATGCTTTCAAGACAATAAGCTCTAGATTTAGGGATTTCATTTCCACTCTTCTCCTTAATCATTTATTTAGAAAGTTTCTCACTTTCGTACTCTACCATAACAAAAGATTATAATAAAGAAAAGCATAATTGTGCACAGTCATCCTGTGGTCAAAGCCATCCACCCTGATCTCTTCCAATCCAGAAGATAATCCTGAATTAACCAGCAAAAAATCAAAACAAAACAGTAGGATATGTTCACTTATCATTCATTAATAGTGCGCAGCAAACACCTCATCAATTCACCTGGACACAGCATAAAAATCAACATTACTACTGTTACCTATTCTTTTTCTTTTTCGTTCCTGCTAATAATTCAGGTGGTGGTGTCATATCTTGGTGACATGTAGTAGTTAGTAAGAGCAAAGAGACTGTTATTATCAACTCCACCTATGCTTCTTACATAACTGTCAGCTAGTTACTCATACTACCAAATCTGACACAAAATCTAGTACTCTTCTTCTTCTTCTTCTTCTTCTTCTTTTTATTTTATTTTATTTTTTTTTATAAAAAAAAAAAAAAAACCTTCTGACTTCTATAGTAGATATAACTTTGATTGTTAGCCCTAACTTTCCCAATCAAAAAGCTCAAATTGCTTCCCAATAAAAGCTTAGATTGTCTTATATCAATTTGTTAGGCAAATTTGGATTACTAATTTCATGTTTTTAATAGCTAAATAACTATTTTCTCATTGCTATGATCTAGGTTACAGAGTGAACGAAAGCTACTGATTAACTACGGAACTGGAACAAAACCCTAACGTCAAGCACAAAATTACACTGACCAGTATTCTGGCGGCGAGGGAGTGCGAAGGTCCACGGCCGGCAAGGGCATTGAGCGCCAACTCGGCCGCCGAGTGCTCCGCCTGCCGCAGCGTTGTGCAGTAGTTAGGGCACTCGAAGATCTCGCCGTTAAAGTTGACGGTGGCCTTGAATCTCGGCGCGTGATCGGGGCCTTCTCTTATGGACGTGTAGGAAGGGAGATTGAAGCAGCTCCGCTGCGCCAGCTCTTGCAGCTGGTTCTTGTACATCTCTCTCTCTCAAACTTTCTCTCTCTAGAAACACGACTCAGGAAACCAAATTCGATCGATTGTAACCCTCAAAATGGTCACCAACCAGTTCAGTAAGCTCAGATCGGACCATCGAGCTCTCAGATTGTACTATCTGTCTAGTTCTTTGACTGAATTGAAGACTTCTAGAGCTTTGAGCTAGAAATACTGCGCATATAAATGCACATTTATAGATAGATAGATATAGATATATAGAGAGAGTGTCTGTTCGAGTTGAGAGAGAGAAGGTGGGAGATTCCAGAGAGAGAGATTGCAACTTAGGAAACAACGGACACAGAGAAGAAAAGTACAGTGGGTTTTGTTTTTGCTTGAATCTTAGTGGATGTTAGGAAGTGGTCGACCTCATGATAAGATGTGTTGCGATTTGTTGTAGCCGCCTGATTGGTTGAGACATGCAAACGATGAGGATGGATGAGCGAACGACGTTGATATATAGGAGTTGAGAATCTGAGATGGCAGCAAAAGTTGTCTATTACTTGTAAGTGTAGAGCAGGTGCCAGGGTGGGGAGCGAATGCGAAAGTCAAAAAAAAATTTAAGTTAAGTGGGAGGGAGTAACCCTGAACATAAAACCGATTTAAAAAAATTGTATAATTATTTTTTTATAAATAAAAATGTAAAATGTAAAAAAAAAAAATCCTCTAATTTATTGGAGAATCAGCGAACACACCCTTATGGTGAATAGCAACACTTGCATGTAAAAATAACATAAACTGGATGACAAGAATGTGACATATTATTTCATGATCCCACGGGTGGAGCCAACGTATGTTCAAAGGGACACATGCCCCGACCCCACCCACTATATTATATATGATTATTTTTTTAATTTTCTTACATATATATGAAAATTTGTATAAAATGTTCCTTAGAATAATTTTAGTTTCTAAAATTTATTTGATCGGTTTATTTAAACGGGTTATAAATAAATTAGTGAGTCAAACACGAACACAATATGATTAATTATCATTTCAATTTAGATCAATATAAACACGATTAAATCAAATCCAAACTCAAGCCAACTTATCCCATGTCATGTTAACATTTTGTGTCAAATATTACCATCCTAATTAATTGCAAATTATATTAAGACAAAATATTTTGTTATTAGATAATTGCATAAACATTGAGTTGTTATTATAATTAAGATCAAATTGTTGTTTTCTTTGTTCCTTGATTATATTTTTGATCAACCAAGTCATTAACGAATACATGCTATCTCATTTTGAAGTGTTTTGTTATTACTTCTTCCGTTTCAAGATAAGTGTTTCTTTTTGAGAATCTAACTTTTTAAGAGAATGATTTTTATATTTTTTATTATATTAGTAGTGAATGAATGGCCAAATATATTCCTAGTGGACAGTGATGTGATGATTTATTTTTAATAGATTTGATGCAAGAAGGTTAAATTAGTAATATTATAAAAAATAGTACATTAATTTTTTAAATAAAATACTTATTTTGAAACGGATAAAAATAAAAAAGTGAACACTTATTTTGAAACGGAAGAAATACATAATAAAATGATGATGTGAATTGAGAATTTGATAATCAGATAGATTAATTACATATTTTAAAATTACTCTTACATTCTCTTCTTTGGTACACCGTATTGAATAGAGTGTTTGTCTGATACCATACAATACACCAGTTGCTATGGTGTTGTACTTAAGGACGTCACATCTTATAAATGTTTCCGCGGCAAATTTACAAGAGAGGACCCACAAACTCTTGAATGGTCAATTTCTCTCTCTCAAGGCTTCCAAATTCCAATTGACAACATTAATAACTTTATTTTTTTTCAAAGGACAAAATATAGTTACTCTTATTCTTCACTTTATTTTTATGTATTACACGTAGTATAATACAATGTGTATTATGAATAACAATTATGTTATATATCATATAAGAGTCCTGATCTCTTACTTTCTATAGAGCAAAAAAATTAATTCATATTTTCTATGGTTAGATTAAATTTAATGGTCATTTTTCAAACTCACTTATGATATTTATTTTTAACACAAAACCACTCTCACCCTATTTTTAGTTTCTATAAACTTTTGAAAAAAAATAATACTAGTATATTTTACTAAAAAATTGTTTTTATTTAGATGTTTTTTTGAAAAAAAAAAAAAAAAAAACAATACCTGTATCTTTTAATTTTGCAACAACAGTATAATATTATAACATTTTCCTAAAAAAACATCTTGTTATTCTCAGTATAAGTAAATTAATATACTTCTGGTAGTATAAGTAAATTTACTAACAAATATACTATAATATTGCATTTTGGAATATCAAATTGATCAATTGGAATTGAAATTAAAGAAAATTTCATTTAAAGTTTGAACAAAAATTCTTTCTATTTCAATTTGAAGTTGGGTATTTGATGAAATTCATTATGGGTCAAGTGCAGAAAACACCCCTCAAGTATGCATATAGTGCATATCACACCCCTCTCGTACAAAAAACACCCCTCAAGTTTCAATTTGGTGCACTTAAGTCCCTGTTGCACATTTAAAACCAAACATGACCAAAGTACCCTTAGTCAATAATTTTATAAAATATATAAAAATATAAAATTTTGTAAAAAGACCAAAAAGGACCATAAACATAACATTGTCATTTTGCTACAATTCTGTCTGGGTTATAGGAGAAAATCGGCATAGAAGAGTGAGGCGTCGAGATTGTCGGTGAGCTTGGTGTTAGGGTGTTTTTTTTTATTTTTTTTATTTTTTAAGAAGAGAGATGTCCCAGGTGGCGGTGACCTCAGAGGCTGTGGCGTTAATGGAGGAGATGGTGGTTGAGGCGACTGTGAACTCATGGCTTTCATCTCTGCCGTGCCGGATAACAAAATAGCCGGTAATCAAAAACCTAATTTGATTTGATCAAAGCTTTGTTTTCTGTTTGCTTATTCAATTGATTTGTTTCTTATTCTGTTTAGTTTTTGTTTGTTTTTTATTTTGTGTTTAAGCTCTGTTTCAATCACTGTTGTTTAAAGCATGTGGTCGCACAGTGAATTTGGTGAACGGCGTCGTTGGTCTCCTCTCCGTCGGAAAATGGCAGCTGTGCCGAGCCGCCGTGGAGACGGTGCTCGGAGGAGTCGAATTGCGGCCGATCTACGCTGGAATTCCGTATCCGGATGGCGATGAAGGCTCATATGCATTTCTCGTTAACTACATGAAGTTTCAAAATCGGCGCTGTTGGTTTCCTTTTTACTGGAAAATGGCAACTGTGCCGAGCCGCCGTGGAGACAGTGCTCGCAGGCGGCGAATTGTGGTCGATCTACGCTGGAATTCCGTATCCAGATGGCGATGGAGGCTCCTATGCGTTTCTCGCTAACTATATGAAGTTCAAAATCGGCACCGTTGGTCTCCTTTCTGCCAGAAAATGGCAGCTGTGCCAAGCCGCCGTGGAGACGGTGCTTGCAGGCGACGAATTGCGGACGATCTACGCTGGAATTCCGTATCCGGACGGCGATGAAGGCTTCTATGCGTTTCTGGCTAACTCGATAAAGTTTCAAAATCGGTTCTTCGAACACTCAACAGACTTCAATTTCTCTCCGACGTCATAATGACCGTGAACTTAGAGAATCGAGGTCGTCATCTTCAGGTAAAGGATCTGTTGGTCAAACGATCGATAAAATGTGAAATTGACAGTAAAACACCCGATCAACACCGTCGCTGACAATTCATTATTGAATATGTGATTGAATTTGTGAGTTTGATTATTGGATGATAATGATATATTGACTATGTATGGTAGGACAGTAGAATCCACCTCAGAAACAACAAGGTAATCCAAAAAAAAATGGGTGAAGCTCTTCTCACAACCTTATCCATGGAGAATAGTCATTTGTCCACACTTTTGTTCATGGATTCAAATTCAACGCACGAAGAAATGGAGAGAGAGTTGATAATTACCTTTTATTGTTATGTAAGTAGTAATGGTAAAATTAAATATAGAAACTAAAAATAGGGTGAGAGTGGTTTTGTGTTAAAAGGAAATACCAAAGGTGGGTTTGAAAAATGACTGTTGTATTTTATCTAACGGTCTAAATAAAAAATGTGGATTAATTTTCTTACTTCATGGGCAGCAAGAGATCAGGACTCTATCATATAATACAAATATATGTCACTCTATTAATTTAATTTTACATAACAAGAGTAATTTGAAAAGAAAAGAAAAATTGAAACCTATTCATCCTAACTTTTAAACTTGTCTACCAAACACGATAATAAGTATACCATTAAAAAATAAATAAATAAATCATTAGTATATAATACTAAATAAAATTAAAATTCTATTTTAGGTTCTCATTCCATATCTTAAAAGTTTAGGGTTCAAATTCCTTTGAAGCCAAACACCACCATTGTACAAAAAAAAATAATAAAAAATAAATAAATAAAAAACAACCCCATAATAAGAAGGGGTAAGTGCAAGAAACACCCCTGAAGTATACCTTTCATAACACTTTTACTTCTTATTTAAAAAAAGTGTACAAAAAACACTCATATTCTTTTCAATTTGTGCGAAAAACACCTCTAAATTACTATAATGTTCATTTTACCCTTTTACTCTTCCAAAAATACCCCTGAAGGTTGGGAATTTACTATTGGGTTTTTTATGGAGGAACGGCTTGTGGCGGTGCGCCGGAGATGATGGAGCAATGAAACGGTAACTGATCAGCGGGAATGATCATTGGGCGTATGACGGCGTGTTGGAGCGTGTTGACACGCGATCTGGATGAAGAGGACGAGGGGCGCGGGTTGAGGAGGCCGGAGTGTAACTGACGTGTAATATTGAATAGAGATTTGAGACCGGTGAAGCGGCAAAGGACAATTGTGAAGGCCATGGTTTTATAAACCCGGTGTATCTGTGATGACCCGAAAGCTGACCCAATAATGGATCCCGAATGAGAAAGCGAAAAGAGAAACAAGGTCTCTATAGATATACATCATCCCTAAGACGCCCAAAGTAACTTCCCATGAAGTCATGGAATCCAAAAAGAACAAAATGCGGAAGAGAATTTTAAAAATGGGTAAATACAACCCTGGGGGTAAAATAGTTATTTCAAAATAAAGATGGATGCCACTGTGCATACAATTGGATAGATAACGAAAAATTAATAAAGTTAAACTCAATAATCGCTTGATTCGGAGTCTAGATGAAAGAGATATGCAACCTCGAAGTTTTGAAAACAAAAACAGAATTTAAAAGTGCTTAGGGGAGTTGGCGATCGATCGCCCACGGCTAGCGATTGATCACCCAAAATCGGCGATGAATCACCA